TTATGAAGGGTTTAGTAATGAGGAGTTTTGCAAGCTAAAGGAAATACAGCTAAACCTTTAATTAACAAAGCTGTTAAATTCCGAAAAAATGAATTTTCTAAATGGGACAAACGGGTAATTTGTTAAATGGTAATTCATTTTTTAAAATACTAATTTTAAATAGCATGAAAAGCAGTTTTTTAATATGCAAACACTAGACACATAATTAAAAGATAACCAATGAGTCATAAGTTTTGTAAATTAATAAGTCGGTGATTCTACGAGATTATAGGCTCTTAGTTAACCATCCTCGAAAAAAATTGAAAGTTGTCGGGATAGTTGTTATTCAAGTAAAAATATAAAAAGCTCCAGTACCAACAAACACTGCAGGTTGACATCTTTTCTTAATTTATTGTCCAACTGCATAAGTGCTTCATCATTAGTAATGGGGAAATTTATATCCTCTGGAAGCTCAATAAGCACAGATGAGGCAGTTCCATTATTTAGTACAATACTTGCACTCATCTGCTGATTTAGAATTTTCAGTTGGTTTTCTTTAACCTCCCTCACGTCTTCTTTTATCTGTTCTAAAACTGAAAAAACTTGCTCCCCTGAAAAAAATATTAAAGTTGAGAAAGATAAATCTATTTGAATACAATTTTAGCAGGACAATGAAAAACAAACTATTCGATTTAATGTAAATTGTCACTTCTAATTTTGCTATGTAATAAACTTTTTACACATAAAATTATTATTGTTGTTGTCAACAGTAATATCGAAAAATGCTTATCCATACGGCAGACAAAGAAGAAGAAAAAAAACATTTTTAAATTAAATATTTATATTAAACAAAAAATCAATGGTTTATTTCTTTTTAAAAACACAATATTAAAAAATTTCAGAAATTTTTTTGTTTGCCTTTTCAGCAGTTAATAAAGTTAGTTCAGTATAAATATGAGTTACAATTAAGATAATAATTAGTTTATCAATTGGTCACTTACACATTTTATTATTTATGGTGGAATTCAATTCAACTCTTGACGATACCAAGGATCCTGAAAAAAAAGGCAAAATTAATTAGGTTTTCTGTAATTGTTTGCTGCTAAGGAAACAAAGATACAGTAATTTCTAATGCAAGAGAATTGAAGAAATTATATGGCCATTCCTTCCAACTCTTACAGAATTTCCCTCCAGCTCTTACAGAATTTCCGTAGTTTCAGAAAATATTTTTTAGAAGTTAATATAATGTATCAGTAAGTGAAAAAAAATTATTTTCTACCACTAGATACAAGTAGTACAAACAAACATAAAAAAGTCAAGAAATTTGGAAAAGCATTTGAGCTCTAACCAAAGTTTTCTAAAAAATTTATTTATTTTATAAATTTATGCCTAAGTTTATTACCACTTAAAAAATATCTCACATTAATCTATAATGTTTTAGGTTATGGACATGATTCTCCCTACCTATACTAAAGCAAAACATTTTTATTAAAAGTGACTTATAATAACAACAAAGACTGCCAGTGCGCAAGTCTACTATTTGGAGAAGTTCTTGTCAAACTAGGAAAGCAGGAACAACAGTTTTATTTTAAGATAAATTAAAATACACAATATCCTAGTAAAATCAACTGAAAATACATTTAATAATTTTTAACTTTACCTTTATTGCAAGTTGGTTTAGGAGAAATCAAAGACTCTAGAAAAAAGGTAGTAAAAAATTCAACTAAATTTAATATACATACATATATATATCCTTTAATAAAAGATAGAAAACATACCTGATTGAGGGCTTGGAGAGGAAAATCCAACCAGGCTTTGAGAGGAAGATCCTCCTTGAGGGCATGTTAAAACTACAAAGAAATCAATTATATAACAGCAAAATTGATTTAACAGTACTTAATCAGTCATACATTTAAAACGATACTTTAAAGTCTTACATGTACTTTAAAATTCCATTTAATAGTACATTAAAATATTATTTTGAGATTTTAAACAGAGCTTTAAATATTATTTTTTTTTTTTTGTTTAACTCTTTAACTTATGCAGTTTCCTTGTCATGTTTTATACAAACGATAAAAAAATTCCCTCTATTTGTTACATAATTAAAATATTACACAATAAAACAAACTATTGACTCTTCACTCCTACAGTTTTGTTTATTAAAAACACTTGATACTGTCTTTCTGTATAAATTTAACTAATAACTTATACTCATATAATTAAAAGACATGCAAGCAAGCTTAAGAAGTTTTAACAACCCACCATTTGACATAGGAGCAGGCGGAGGACAAAACCTTTTTGTAGTTTGATATTCAGCAATCTCTTCGTCAGATGAGAAAGCAGATGCCAGTGAAGATTTTAAAGGACCTGTTAAAAGTACCACATGAAAAAACTAAATACACAATAATATTAAAATAAATTTAAGATGGGTGCCCTACTAAAAAACACAAAACATATGTTTAAAAGCTGGACATTAATTTAAGGCTGTTTTTTCAAAGAATCTGTCAACACAAGATGTAATACTATTTAGCAAATACACTATTTTTAAAACCACTGTTAATTTGTAATAGTTATTTAAAACTGCTATGGAAGGTTTTATTTATCTTTAGTCAGTGTCCTCAATCCTAATTCTTGTTTTAAATATTTAACTATTTGTCAATTTTAAAGCCTAGATAATTTCTTACAGAAAAATGGCATACATAACTAAAATACAAAGCTTTGCTCTGAGTGTAATACACTAAAACTTTTTTTTAAAATTAAATTTGCAACGGAGATAGAGGTAACAGCCTTAAACTTAAAAGCACTATTAATTAATGTCTATCCCATAAAAGTAAATTAACTATCTCATAAATATATTTGTTTAAAACTGTAATATAATTAAACATATTACCCTAAAATGCAACAGTATTTACCATTAGAGAATCTGAAGATTTTTTTTGTCTTTTCTTCACTGCTTGAGCAATATCTAGATGGTTTTTTCCTTTTACGGATAAGCTCTTCTTCCTCTGAGGATGACGATTCTGACTCAATAGTTGATGTATCAAGAGCATACTCAGCTCTATTATGTGCACTTTTAAAACTCTCTAAAATTAGAAGGAAAAAAATCATTAGTTTCAATAAATTTTACGCAGGGTTCATGATTTTTTTAAAAAAATAAAAGAAATTAGATTTCTTTTATTTATTCAAATACACTGTAAGAACATTTATTTATGATACAAAAAAAAGAACTTTAAAACACTTTTCTATAACTTTTTAAGTCAATTTATAAATAAAAAAAGTTTTTTACAAATAAAATTTATTTACTATGAAAACTGCAAACTTTTCCTATGTTATAGTCCTCCCAATCTTCTTGTGGCTTGACGCATTCTCTGATGCACCCTGCAGCAAACATCAATGACTTTTTTGCTGGCCATTTTATTTGTGTATCATTGTTAATGAGCCATGAAGTTGGCACTACTTCAATATTCTCTGCTCCGCCAAATTTAACAACAGCATACTGTTTTTGTCCTGTAAGAACATATTGCACTTACTTTCCAAATATATATTAATTACATGAATCAAAGCAAAGCATTGAAAAAAATAATAATAAATAATTTAAAATAAAAACAATAAATTCTCAAAATTTAAAGTTTTGAAAAAAATAAAAATTACAAATAGAAATATAATAGTTCAAGGGTAGACAAAAAAAAAGCAGAGACGATTTCAAGCATTAGATGTTTTATTAAATGGAACTTAGTTAATATTTATTTATACATACATTTTTTCAAGCAAACTCTATATACAAGGTATCTGGTAAATCAAGAGATTTTAAATCACAGAAGTTTAAAAGATAATTCGCTCTAGAAAGGATGTTTTTCCTTTCATTTTTTGAAAGAACACCATGATGTTTAAAGAACACGATAAAAACATTTTTTCAAACAAACTCTATATACAAGGTATCTGCTAAATCAAGAGATTTTAAATCACAGAAGTTTAAAAGATAATTCGCCCTAGAAAGGACACCATGTTTAAAGAACACGATAAAAACATTTTATATATTAATAAAATAAATTTCAAGCATTAGATGTTTTATTAAATGGAACTTAGCTAATATTTATTTATATATACATTTTTTCAAACAAACTCTATATACAAGGTATCTGCTAAATCAAGAGATTTTAAATCACAGAAGTTTAAAAGATAATTCGCCCTAGAAAGGACACCATGTTTAAAGAACACGATAAAAACATTTTATATATTAATAAAATAAATTTCAAGCATTAGATGTTTTATTAAATGGAACTTAGCTAATATTTATTTATATATACATTTTTTCAAACAAACTCTATATAAAAGGTATCTGCTAAATCAAGAGATTTTAAATCACAGAAGTTTAAAAGATAATTCGCCCTAGAAAGGACACCATGTTTAAAGAACACGATAAAAACATGTTATATATTAATAAAATAAATTTCAAGCATTAGATGTTTTATTAAATGGAACTTAGCTAATATTTATTTATATATACATTTTTTCAAACCAACTCTATATACAAGGTATCTGCTAAATCAAGAGATTTTAAATCACAGAAGTTTAAAAGATAATTCGCTCTAGAAAGAATGTTTTTCTTTTCATTTTTTGAAAGAACACCATGATGTTTAAAGAACACGATAAAAACATTTTATATTTTAATAAAATAAATTTCAAGCATTAGATGTTTTATTAAATGGAACTTAGTTAATACTTATTTATATATACATTTTTTCAAACAAATTCTGTATAAAGGCATCTGCTAAATCAAGAGATTTTAAATCACAGAAGTTTAAAAGATAATTCGCCCTAGAAAGGACACCAAGTTTAAAGAACACGATAAAAACATTTTATATATTAATAAAATAAATTTCAAGCATTAGATGTTTTATTAAATGGAACTTAGTTAATACTTATTTATATATACATTTTTTCAAACAAATTCTGTATAAAGGTATCTGCTAAATCAAGAGATTTTAAATCACAGAAGTTTAAAAGATAATTCGCCCTAAAAAGGACACCATGATGTTTAAAGAACACGATAAAAACACTTTATATTTTAATAAAATAAATTTCAAGCATTATATGTTTTATTAAATGGAACTTAGCTAATATTTAATTATATATAAATTTTTTCAAACAAACTCTATATACAAGGTATCTGCTAAATCAAGAGATTTTAAATCAAAGAAGTTAACACTTTTACAATGAGTGATTTAAAGCAATAAGAACTTTAAAGTGACAATTTAGCACACATTTGGCTTTAACTTCACTAAGTTTCACTTTGACTAAGCTGCTCAGAATCTTATCATATAAGAAAATGCAAGTTATTTCTGAGGAACACGGTGTATTAAAATATGGTCCTGCAACGGTTATCTCATTACAGAGGAAAACACATTCTTCACTTAAACAGTTGATCACATGTTTAATCAAATAAAATTTTTCACCACTTGAAAGAAAACAGTTGTCTCTTTTGATTGATGAATATTGTATGCCATTTACTACCACACTAGCAAATTCTCTTTCAAACTCATTATTTCGAATGATTTTAATGGGATTAAGCCATTTGTATTTTTCTACTGGGGTAGTTGATTCAACATTATACCTTTCTGAAATTCTTTTTGATAACTGGGCTAGATGATGCGACCCTGTTCTTAATAGCTGTTTTACTTCACCAAGGAAGTTCTCAAAAGGGTAACATGAGAATTCAGAGAGGCATCCATGCAGGCGAACATCATCTGCGAGATGTAAAAGATTATGAACATTGTAGACGATGGCCTTTTTACCATAAAAAATACCAACATCTTCAACAAAAGATAAGAGCATCTGCTCGGAAAACTTTACATATTCTTCATCAGAAGATAAAGGTGGACTACTAAAGTAGAAATTGCCACATGAAGGCTTAAAAAATTATCATAAAGACATGTCGGCAGTATATCTTTTAACACAACAGGCCCAAGATACAATAAAAATTGTCGGAATTCAGTCGCTTTCCACCTGTCAATGTCTTTTAAAGACCTAGGTGGGCGGCTGAATTCTGAAGGCATACATTCAGAAAAGGAAACAAGCCTGTCTGATATCTCTTCAACTTGTTTGGCACTCATTCTGGTGCTGTTTTCTTTCTTTTTAATCCCATTTCTAATCCAAAACATCAGCAGTTTCCTTACCACACCCAAGTCTACCAAGTGCATGGGATCCAAAGGAAACTGACTGATCATGCCGATTTTCAAATCCAACAATGGGGATCTACCAGCATGATGTTGAAATTGAAGAAAGTCAGAGAAATCCCCATCAGTTCTCTTTGCACTGGTCATTTTTAAAAACTTAACATGGCCATTAATAGATTTTCCTTTTTGAATGCATTTTTCGCAGCCCCAATAGGAATTGTGATTCTTAATGGCTTTAACAAAAAATCGGGCAGGGGCATCGCAATTGAATTGTATGATACAAAATGAATAATGTGCATCATTTTGTATGAATCCTTCAGACGATAATTCCTTGACTTCTCTAACGAAGTCATTAAAAAAAGCATTTAAACATTTAGGCTTGGATAGCCCACTGTGGCAAGCTATTAAGAAAGGAGCAACTTTGACTTCAAAGATTATAAGCCCTAAAATTGGCCAGAACTGTATCCTTGAGCTTTTGGCTAAAGGTAAGCCGTCCACATTTATCCGCAGTTGAATATCTCTATTGGGAGAAATTTTTTCCAAATTCATATTACAGAGGTTCTTCCCAATCCCAAAATAAATAAATTCTGACTTGGCTAACTTCTGAATATTTGTTGTTCCAGCAGTTTTTAAACTAGTTCTGCTATCTTGAGGTAATTCTGGGTGATACTCTTTTAGTATACTCAAAAGATTTTTTAGTTGCTTGTGATTGATTTTATTTGTAACTGCCCAAAATCTCAGTTTTTCAGACAAAGACTTGTCAACCATAATGCTCGGAACATTTTCCGGCTCCTCCACTGAAACTGATGGAACAGGATTATCGGAAGATTCCAATTCAATTTGTGCAGCATTTAAAGAACCCAATTCTACATCAGTTGGCTCATGAGGCTGGATTATTGAAGCATTCAAGCTACCAAAATCTTCTTCGACATTTAGCTCGTGAGGCTGGAACTGACTTTCCTTTCCTACATCTGATGCAGAAGTATTTTCCCCAATCCTACATAAAAAAAATAAAAGAAACATAAATTGAATTGCTAAAATGAAAAAATTTAACTGATTACCATATATTTTTAAACATAAGTCTAAATGTTAACAATCGAGAGTGTGCTTTTTGTTTGAAATTAAACTACCCAAAATTTAAAATGCTTAGATAAGCCAGCATAAAAAATATATATATATCTTAGTTGCGAACCTTCAACTTCTCTATCTCAGGATATCTTAGTTTGTTTACCATTCTTCAGAAGTAAATACCCATTAAAAGCTTCACTAATTCTTTTTTTTTTTTTTTTTAAAAAATACCTTGTTTAAATTTAAGCTATTCTTATAATTATAATTGCTAAACAATTGTAATGATAATTTTTAATTTTTGCCATTCAGCAATTTTCCTGGGAGAGGTTTTTTTCCGGCTGAAATGCCCTGCTTTAAATTAAATGGTTCACTCAGTGTATGGTTAATCTAATAAAAAAGGATAATTCTTAATTATCCAAATATATATATTTATTTAACTGTATTGTATGATATTCCCATAAATATTTTATCATTTAATTCATTCATAGGAGAATTAGCCTACCACGGACATGAAGTTCGGGTGTACGACCGCAGCCCTGAAGCTTTGGATCATGTTCGCCTACGAATTCAGGAAGATACGCGTCTTCTCACGGAAGATGGGGTCTTGACATCTCCTAAATTTTTAGTAAGTATGTCTTCCATAAAATGTATGAAACAGTCATTTTTATGTACGAAATGTATCTATAGGATGTCTGAAAAAGATTATGAAAATAACATTTATATATACTTTACTTTTATCTGGTTATCTTTTTTTTCTTTGTTTCTTTTCATGACAATAAATTTTGTGAAAAGTTTATAGTTTAAAATTAAATTGCTGTTCAAGCAGACTTTTGTTAAATTAAAAAAAAAAATTTTTCCACCCATTCACTAAAATACAGATTAGCTTATTCATTAATATGCTTATTTATTGAATCAAAATGATTTATGTATTTATTTGTGTTACCTAATGACTNTACTTCTTTTTATAGTGCACAGAACCAATAGAAGTACGCAAGAGATGGAGATTTTCATACAACGGGAATATTTTTCTTTATAAATAGCATAATTTCAAAAGGGATTGATATTCTTAATACATTCTGAAGTAATTGGAAGATTCTTTTGTGATTTAAGCTCTTCATTTAACAATTTTGGCCAGTACATTGGCGAAAAAGCAAATAATGTTTTGAAATGTACTGCATCCATTTCGGCAATACTAGAAATGGCCCTAATTCATACACAGTGAAATATAAATTCAATTTTTTTAGCACTGCTATACGAAAACAAAAAAAGTTTGATTTTAAAATAAATGTACATTGCGATTCGAAAATTATTTTATAGTTTTGAATTTAGAAATCGTAGCCAACTTATTGTATTTTTGAGAATTCGTGAATTAAATAATGTAATGCAATATAGTAGAAAACAAACTTGGACATAAAAAAAGAGAGATTAAAAACAGTACATACCTGCCAAGATCGGACGAGGATCTGGAGCTTTCAACGAGTTCGCTCATTTTCAAAAGATTCATTAATTCGGCGTCATCTTCAGCAAGTTTTATTTTTTTACAAACTTTTCTTTTAATGAGTTTAATACGAGTTTTACTCGACTTACCTGACATGATGCCTTGCGATAAATATCTTAAAAGATGAAATCAGATTTAAATATAAGGACAAAAGACGTAAACACTTATTAAAGAGACCGCAATACACTTAAAGAGAATCAGGTTACGGTTGCAGTTGCGAGTGGTATACATCACAGATTTCAGTATTTAGTGAAAACGATCGATGTCATGACAAAAGCACGATTACAATATTGATATCAAATATTGTCCGAGTGTTGTTCGGATATCTCTAAATTTATATTTTAAATTTATTTTTTGGAATTATAACAATTTGACGTCATTTTTTGTCTTTTAAATGATTAATTTTGATTTAAGAACGCAATAAAGTTTTAAATGAAAATTTTACAAACAGATCTTTAATGTGAAATCGACGGGAATCGTACAATATCGTACACACAATTTCGATTTTCGCCAATATTGACAATGTCGGTCGATGTAGACTAAAGCTGTTACAATATCCCTGTGCTACTTGGGCTACATAAATACAACACAAAAAGAAATAACAGGAAAAATGTAAATTTAAAGCTCAATTAGCACACTCTAAAGTTTACCTTGCTCTTCAGGAGGTTGTTGTTGCTGCTGTTGTTTTGCAGCTTCAGTTCCTACACAAAGCCAATTGCAGCACAAAGAGAAAAGGAACAAAAGAAAAGAATAAAGAAATAATTGCATAAATTATAAAGAAGAAGATATACATTTAGATCAGAAATGACTGAAGGGTGAAAATTTACATTCAGGACACACACAGTTTAATAATTAGCCAGTTGTTTAAAGTAATAATTATAATTTAAAAGAAAAATAAAAAAAAATACAATGAGATTATATTAATATTATAAGTAATAATTTTTACCTATAATAATGAATATATAAAATGTTTTCAAAGACAAAATATAAATAAAACTTAATCAAAAATAACTGATGAAGTCCCTTAGACTGATGATGAACTTAAAATTTTTGGATGAATCCTATGCTTTTCAAAACATTTTATTTAATACTTTTCATTTTATTTATTTTCTAGTTTTTTAGCAAATTAGCAGTCTTCAAATCCTCATAGTGCAGGACTTGACATAAACTGCTTGGTTTTAAATGCAAAAAACACCAAGCAATGACATTTCTATTTTGAGAAAGAGAGATAGGCTGAAAGGAATGCTTTCTCAAGTTTTAAAGCAGGCAGCACAATTTGAAAAACCAGATAGAAAGGACTGAAAATTTTTTTAACAGCTACTGAGATAAAAATAATAATAATAATAATAAAAAAAAATAAAAAAACATCCAACGGTGTGAAACTAAGCATCCAAAATACATTACATAAATTTGCATGACATAATAACATCTTATTAAAAAAGAATCAAATTTTTAAAAAGGGGAAAAAAATAATAATAAAAAATATAACATCAAAGTTAAGATTTTATTTACGTTTTTTCTTTTGAAGAACAAGTAAGAACTTTTAAGCCCTTTTAACAGTGCTTAATTTCAATGATGCAAAATTATACTCTATTAAGCACATTTAAGGTACGTATGAACTCTAAATAAAAAGGAAATTCAATTCAAGGAAAAACCACAAAATTTCTTGTTCTGCAGCAGATAAGAAATTAAAAGTTATGATAGATGAATAAAATAACTTCTGAATACAGTGAATGGCTCTCTTGCATTTCAAGAGGAATTCATTTGAAAGTGGAAATTGTCTATTTTTCTTTACCCATTCAATCCTCTTCTATATGCCTCACCTATTTGGGTGAGTCCTTCTTTACTATAGCAAGAGGATTGTAATATCATGGGTTTAGGGAAATGTGAAATCTTTCTTTTGGTTGAAATGAGGGGGGGGGTTGTCAAATTAAAATAAAAAGTGAGATAAGTGACTAAGCCTTAAAAACAGTAAATAAAAGTTACTATTTTTTAAGATACTGACATTAAGTGAGAAAAGTGACTCATGCCTAGCCCTGCAAACATCATCTTTACTTGAGGGTAAATGTATCATATTCAGAGAAATGTAATAATTGTATTTATTTATTTTCCAATTTTAGAAATTTTCCTATTCGGTTGACTTATACACCTGACACAGTAGAAATTTGATATCTTGTAATCGAAAATTGGGCTGACTTACACCCCAAGATATACAATAATTTATCTATTTAAGATTATTCATATTAAACAGTATAGTAAACTGAACTTATTTTTAATTTAAATTTAAAACACTTAAATTTTTTTTGTAAATACTTAATTCGTTTCACACATTGCCATTTAAAGGGTATATGCTACATTTTAAATTTTCAAATCCATGACTCATTCCAAGAATTTTTCATGATTACTATTACTATTTTACTTACAATTAGTTACTATTTTCTCCGACAAAAACACAATAATTTTAAAAAAGCATTATAATAACATTAATTGAAATGATAGGTGTAACCAAAACTGTTGTACTCTGTATCTTAATATTTATGGATTTCAAATTTAACAAACAGAGTAAAGAAAGAGTTGAAGCAATAAAACAGCTGAAAAAAATACAAAAGGAAATATTTTTCTTTCTTTTTTTTCTGCAGAATTATATGTTTAAGGTACTTTTCTTGTTGATCAGAAAGGAAAGAAATACTCCTGATTTTTCTGTTCTCATTTCTGAATTGAAAAAAATTTTTGCCAATGACTGGTTTGTTTCAGCTAGAATTTTAAATTGATAAAATAAAAATAATAATACAAATTCTGAAATCACAGAAGTTTTAAAGATAATTCACTCTAGAAATGTTTTTTCTTTCCTTTCTTGAAAGAACGCCATAATTTTTAAAGAACATGATAAAAAAAATTTCATGTTTTAGTAAAATATTATTGTGAGTAGGGATTTTGTTACAAATTTAGATATTCCGAACACCGTGATATTGGTGGTGGTGAGATTGGGGGGAGTAAATTCAATTTTAAAAATTAGATTTTTCAGCAATCTAAATCCCTGATTTTTTTTAAAAAATAGTTAAAACCATAACATTTCATGACTTTCCAGGTGCCCAGATACCCTGTATTTAGTTTTAGACATTATATAAAAGGCCTAGGCATTCTATAGAACAACAGATTCCAAACTTTGCCAGTAACATATAGAATTATAATTACTTAATATCATCACGAAGAACTACACACAATTTAGTGTTGTTTTCCAGCATTTACTTTATCTCCTTTTTTCACAAAAAATTAGTGAAAGAAATTATATGATATGGAGCAGTCTGCCTTCAGAAATACATAAAAACATTTTTATTGTAAGCAGATGTTTTACGGCTTGAAGAGCTATCAAAATCTAAGTTTCTTAAATATAAATTACTGAACTGTTAATTAGCCAACTTATTTATCACAGACTTGAGCTCTAATTTTATGTGATAAGGGAGCTCTAGAGATTTCACGCTCTATACTTGGCAGGATCCACGCAAACAGACCATGAAAAGGATCTATACTATAACTTCGTAAGATCTATAGACAACCTGATGGAAAAAAAGATCTATAGAGATAGATAGATCTACCAAAATGAAAGAAGATTGTTGCTTTAAAAATATTTCTGGCAAACTTGAAAAGTACTCTACTTTAAGGCAGATTCCCGATGAGACGCATAAATTGTGCAACACTTTTGGGGCAAAAATCAGGAAAAGTCACCAAAAGAGATGTCTGGAGAAGACCAGGGACCACCCAGGGCTATTAAGCTAGTGAAGAAAAAGAAGAAGCAAATCTACAAATAGCGCCAGTGAAGTTTTTGGCATTCTATTTCTATAAGCGAAACATTCTATTTTTTGATAAGAAAAAAGAAATGAAATCTATTTTTAGAGCAACAAAAGTAGCTTTCATTTTTAATATATGTATTTCCCTAGGAATATGTATATACAAGTAATATTCAAAGTAAGATAAGAATACTAACTAAGAATAAAGAAAATTTCCCATACCCTCTCCAAAAAAGAAAGTGCAGCTTTAAGTGCACCTTCTGGTTGACCAAAGGGGAAGCAATACCTAAACAGGAAAAAAATAGATAATTGGCCAAAAGATGGAAAAATATATGTTATTTAGCAAAATGCATTTTGATTGAAAAGACAAATGAATGGTACATAGCTATATTTACAACATAATTGAAAGATGTATTGGAAGATGCTCTACTATGTTATTAGAAAATTTTTTGCAAAGCACTTTATTAGACGATCAACAAGCCTATCTCATATATCAAAGAGGGTATGGTGAAATATAACAAGGTAGGTTTAGTTGCACAAATAGTTAGGGAGAGCTAAATGCAGAAAAAAAATTTCTTTTCAAAATCTATAACCTTACATAGTTATTCAATACAAATATTTATCACACAGTAGAGGATTAATTTTACATTTATGGTTGATTTTTACACTGACTATATTGTTCACAGTAAAAAAAAAAGATTTACTTTATTATTGTACCGAGCTCCTCAATTGTTTAAATACCATAAATAATTTAAATGTTAATTGAGAAAAATACTTAAAAACTGGAAATTATAAGACAAAAAATATATTAATTATTTAAATAACTTTAAGTAAGCAAAATAATATTAAAAAACTCTCAAAAATTAAGTAATAAAAAGGTAATGTCCTGAAATGATGAATATTTATCAACTAAAATTAAAAAATGAAAGAAAAAACAAGTTACATTAAAAGAAGAATTAAAGCAATGTTAAAATGAATATTACAGTCACAAATTAAATTTTTAAACAATATTTTAAATTGAAAAAAAAAATTGAGTTATGAGTAGAGCTTCAAAAATTGGCCATACCGAACGAAATGTAAACAATATTATCTGCTTCAGGTAAACTGATAAAAGTTTGCTATTAACTAAGTCTAGAGCGAGAAAAAAAAGTGAGTATATTAGAGACAACCTCTAAGAGGATAACTGAAAAACAAATTTGCGAGTGGATTTTAAACAATAAGCTAATTTAGAGTAAATTATAAAGAAAAGAGTAATATATTTACCTAAAATGAGTAATTTGGTTTTCAAGAAGTATTCTGTATTGTTCATTAATATCGGCAAAAAAATCGTTCTCTTCAACAGTCACAGTTCCAATGCCGTCTGGCTGTAGGTAGAAAATAACTTTCACTTTTTTAGAATATTATTATCGTAAAGCACATACAATATTACAATAAAATTAGTATACTTAATTATTTATAATGTGCATAAACTTGTTCTTAGCATTGATACAATATTCATCATAAGCTATGAAGTGTATTTAAAAATGGTTAACAATTAAAAAATTAATTAAAAAAAATATTGTTTCTTATAAATTTTTATCAAGCATCATTCATATAGAGTAAATGATACATAAAAAAGCTTTAGATTTCTTTTAATATGCAATTTACACATTCATGTCTCACTGCTTCATACAATTTAAGCTTTTAAAAATAACTTAGGTATGTTTTGATATTATTTTAGACACTGGACAAACCATCCAAATGTAATGCATAAGTAGAAAAATTAACTTTTATAATATAACAATTTATTTTTATGTAAAGTTGAATGATAATGCAAATTTCAAATTAAATCGAAAACGATACTAGCACTAACGATACTGAATGTAAATAATTTATTTTTTTGAGATAATTTTCTATTTTTACCACCGATTTCTAAATCAGTTTTCAATATTTAATAAATACGCACAATAAAACTTCATTGCAAAAAGAAGTTTAATTAGTTGTACAACTTTTCAAAGAATAGTAAAACTTTTTGTAAGAAATTCGTTACACTGCAATTGTTCTCTACTACTAACCTATGCAACTAAAACATTTTATTTCACAAAAATCACAGTAACTTTAAAAGCCATAATTGTTGGAAAAAATAAAATGAAAGTTGTTAATATTTCAGTTCATTATTCGTTTTTAGCTAAATATAATCCATGAAATAATTTTAATTAGCTTCTGGATAATTTTGTATTTGTGAAAAAAAATCACTTAAGACCATAATAACATTTAATTTATGCATTATAGAAGTTTTTAAAAAAAATAGTTATTAGAAAAATGATTAAAATGAAAAAAACATAGCAGGATCTTCAACAACTTATTATATGCTACTATTCTATATTGTCTACATTTTTTAAGTACTCTAAACAGATCCACGCTTTAATATCAAACAAATATAATATTATTTAAGTTAATTTTGTTATGTAAAAATTATCAGAAGAGAAATTTAAATTATGCATAATTAAGATTAACACTAAATGATCAAATGTGATACAACAGTGCACCGTATCAGATATTAACTGCTGATAAATATATTTTTACTACAACAACATTAATCACAAAACGACAATTCTAAGTCACACATAACAATAATATGAAAGAAACCTAAAGGAAAATTTTGAATAACATCAAATATTTCAATAAATAAGAGTTAAAACCAAAAAGGTTTTTCCTTATAATCCAATAGATTTTACAAAGAAATTTTATTTCTCTTAAAGTTTTAAGGAATAAATTTGAAGAGAGATGAGTGTCTTTTTTTCAAAGTATTTTGTCATTTAAATGTATGATATTAATCTTTTAACACTTATTAGGTAATAATATGAACTGTAAAAGTATTAATTTAATATTTCTTTAAAAAAAATGAGTGGAATAAAAAAACAATTTTAGGTTGATGTCTTTACCATTCTTTCTAGTTACGTTTCAGTGCTTGGCAATCTAAACTTACATTACGAACATGTGAACAGCAAAAAGAACAGAGACAAAAATGCTTGTCTTTTCTATATTCTTTTTTGAATCTATTCTAGAAAGATGTGACCAATAAATTACTTTATTTTAATAGATTACACACAGATGGATATATTTTTTCATAGCATTCAATAGCAAAATCAACATTTTGAAACTGAAAATTTTTTTGTCGGTAAAAAAAAATTCATGAGCTAAATACATCCACAAGGAACAATAGCAAACTTTGTCTAGTTATATCACAGGTGGTCAGAAGAAATAAATCTGCAATCATAAAATAAATACAGAACCAACATGTTAATAATAATAAGCAACAAGTCATATCAGTTTAATGATGATTAAAAAGTGAATGCTTTAAACATGCTTTTGCTTTTCATTATACACAATACCCCCTCGACATATGCAAAGTACTGTACAAAAAATATTTATTCATCTGTCTTTTGATAAAACAACAACAGGACATAAGAAAGTAGACCAATAACGTAGACCTAAAAAATATTTTTATGGACAGAAAATTTTTTCTTCCGATTTCCGTCTTCAAGTCTGCCTTGTTTCCGCCTTACTTCTGTCTGCGGACATTTTCGAAAGACGAAAATCCGTCTTGGGGACGGAAGACTTGCACCCATGCCTGGCTGATTCTCAAACTCTTATTTAAACTCATTATTTTTTAATATTTTATTTAACAATGGTAAAAAAAAAACTTTGAATTTTAAGGTATACTATGTTTGCATCATTTTAAAGAATATAATTTTACATGGCAAAATACAAAAATCAGTCGAATAGTTCCTGAGAAATCAAATTTTAAGTATCTGACTTTTCTGAAATTTAATTTCTGGTTAACTACTCAACAGATTTTTCTCAAAATTTTTGACCATTATCAAATAAAATAAAAATAACTAATAAATATTTGCAAAAAATTATTTCTTGCATGAAATTACTTTTGGACTAATGAATTTTAAAATTGTGAGCAAAAATATTTCATACATATTTTTTTTTTCAATTAGCTTATGTACTTTTTGAGAGATAGCAAATAGTAAAATTAATATTAAGAAGTCCAAACTTTGCACCAAACTATTGGGACCTCATATCCCAGATTGCAGCTATCCTCTATACTGCTTAAACATCTTTGAACTTTGCAATATTGTTTTGCATTAACTGTTCACGGATCCAATTATCACGAATTTCATGCATAAATAGTGAGCAGAGAAAAACCTCTGTAATCAAAACACTTTTATCACTATCACACTTAATACAGAAATCACATGAAGTTAAATGACGCTGCAAAGTAGTGACATATTCAGCTATGGATTGTTTTTAATCTTATTTGTTGATAAAAAAAATTTAGCAACAATATGATATGGGAGATACTTCCATATCGCAATTTGTTGCGCCAACTACAATCACCAAGGTGGCAAATAGATTTTAAATAAATAAAATAAATAATAAATGCAAATAAAAAAATTAAATAAACAAAGATGTTTGCAAAGGGGTGGCTATAAGTTATACATTTCTAATTCTTCCCTTTCTGTGATTTTTTTTTATTTTCTCACAGGTTGCTGCCAAGATTTGACGATTATTCTGCCTAGATCACAATACGGAAATCTCTCCACAATATGTTTCTTTAGCATGAGCATATGGGAGAAACATTGAACAAATTCGTCATTTTTCAAGTCTTTCAGACATTTTTCTGGTCCAAAACAAGCAGAATCTGACTACTTCTTTTTATAGTGCACAGAACCAATAGAAGTACGCAAGAGATGGAGATTTTCATACAACGGGAATATTTTTCTTTATAAATAGCATAATTTCAAAAGGGATTGATATTCTTAATACATTCTGAAGTAATTGGAAGATTCTTTTGTGATTTAAGCTCTTCATTTAACAATTTTGGCCAGTACATTGGCGAAAAAGCAAATAATGTTTTGAAATGTACTGCATCCATTTCGGCAATACTAGAAATGGCCCTAATTCATACACAGTGAAATATAAATTCAATTTTTTTAGCACTGCTATACGAAAACAAAAAAAGTTTGATTTTAAAATAAATGTACATTGCGATTCGAAAATTATTTTATAGTTTTGAATTTAGAAATCGTAGCCAACTTATTGTATTTTTGAGAATTCGTGAATTAAATAATGTAATGCAATATAGTAGAAAACAAACTTGGACATAAAAAAAGAGAGATTAAAAACAGTACATACCTGCCAAGATCGGACGAGGATCTGGAGCTTTCAACGAGTTCGCTCATTTTCAAAAGATTCATTAATTCGGCGTCATCTTCAGCAAGTTTTATTTTTTTACAAACTTTTCTTTTAATAAGTTTAATACGAGTTTTACTCGACTTACCTGACATGATGCCTTGCGATAAATATCTTAAAAGATGAAATCAGATTTAAATATAAGGACAAAAGACGTAAACACTTATTAAAGAGACCGCAATACACTTAAAGAGAATCAGGTTACGGTTGCAGTTGCGAGTGGTATACATCACAGATTTCAGTATTTAGTGAAAACGATCGATGTCATGACAAAAGCACGATTACAATATTGATATCAAATATTGTCCGAGTGTGTTTCGGATATCTCTAAATTTATATTTTAAATTTATTTTTTGGAATTATAACAATTTGACGTCATTTTTTGTCTTTTAAATGATTAATTTTGATTTAAGAACGCAATAAAGTTTTAAATGAAAATTTTACAAACAGATCTTTAATGTGAAATCGACGGGAATCGTACAATATCGTACACACAATTTCGATTTTCGCCAATATTGACAATGTCGGTCGATGTAGACTAAAGCTGTTACAATATCCCTGTGCTACTTGGGATATTCTTATTTTAATGTAACCTGTATAGTTTCTCTCTCCATTTATTAAAAAAATAATTCTAACAATTTTTAATAGCAAATTTACTTTTATTTTTTAATATATAATTTCTATAAGTTTATATAATATTATATAACTTATAAATATTTAATATTTATAAGTTTAATGATATGAAATTGTCATGTACATGGTTCGTTTGAACATGTTACCCTTTTTTTGACGGAAGATCTGACATCTCAAAATTTCTACAACGGGTGTGTTTACCCGTATTCAAAAATACGGGGTCAGGTTTCTCATATGATCTAACCATAAACAAATCATATTTTTCATTGTTGTATATTTTGAGATAGGATCTTCCGTATATTGCTGAGATACAGAACTGTTTTCCTCTTTCTGGGGAACTACAACGTTGTATCCAGTAACAAGCCCTTAACGATACTAGAATCTTGAATTCTATATAGAGTAACGACACATTTGTGTCCTATTCTTATTTCTTTCATTCACTTTGAAAAGATATGTGGATAATGAAATTCTGTATATGCGTTTTTAAGTTTATTATTTTTAATTTGTTTTCTTTATTAACTTAAAAAGTTTTCACTTACAGCATTTTGTGGTGTTACTACACAGAACTTTTCAAGGAAAAAAAAATACTGAATGTAATTAGAGACTCTAATTCTTTTTGTTATATGTTTATGTGTGCATAAACTTTGATACATTACTTAAAGAAGATATTTTGATGTTAATATTACATATTGTTCTACTTAATTGGTATGCATGTTTTCTTGTATATAGCGTTTACTTTACATTTGTTATTTTTGTTTTGCTTGAATGTTTTTTAATTGATTATTTAATGTGTGTTTTGTTGTAGTTTAATTAAAAATTCTGGTGGAAGGTGTTGAAGTAATTAACCATAAATTTTCCCCTAAGTTCTAAATTTAATATGAAAGGAAATTTTTTTCGGAGAGGGGTGATGTAATATAAAATGCCTCATACGAGTCCTTCTATATTGAATGATAAGCTTGAAATAGATGTCTCTTATCAATTTTAAGATATAGAAATCGTTCTCTCACAAAGAGTCATAAAAAGTCAAGAGACCAGATAAAAGATTATGTTCTGAAGTTAATGGGCAATAATTCGTAGATAAAGTACACATTAAGATAGTCCCAAAAATTCCCCAGCCTCAGAATGTGGCGCCATCCTTTTAGCAAATCAAAATCTCTAAATTTTCCCATTTGAATGACGTTTCATTAAGATAAGCGATAGACTTTCAACCAATTCCCTTTCAGAACCCCCTTTAAATATCAGGAGCAGCAAAAATTCGTAGCTTTTCTTATTTTCATGGCTAGATAAATCCGTGCCAAAGACCAACATCCCTTCCCGGAAACCCCACCAATGTAATCCATGCAAAACTCCAACTAACACTATTTTAAATAACTTAATATAAATTTATAAAATGCCTGTTTGAATCAGCCTCAGTCTATTGAGTTATCTAGCCTTTAAAGGCATATATATATATATGAGTCGCTCAGAAGCCAATGCGGTTAGGTCCAAAACACAAAAATTGAGAAAATTAATGTTTTTTGATACATTAGTTTTTAAAATTCCTGGTTTATTAATTTAATTAGAAAAGTGTATAAATTCTTTTTTCGAGGTGTAAACTCTGCAAAAAAACAAGATATGTTCAGGATGTGTAAATAAAAACGTAACTATTTATTGAAATAATGACAGCATCTTAAAAATTTTAGGACTTATACCTTTTGGCAGTTGAAANTAGCGCGTATGAAAAATGAGTAACAAATATTTAATAAAGTTTTTTTAAAATTAATTTGTTTCCTAACTTCAGGATCGAACAAAGAATGAAGGCATGGACGCTGCTGTTGATAGTTTTTTGAGAGGAGCTGGAATCTTCCACTTCTTGAAACAGAATTTTAGCAATCCACCCAGTACTGATCTGTCTCCGGAAGTGTTAGATATGCTGACTCACCTGATGCTTGTAAGTATTAATCAATGATCCTTTTGTTTTCAATGATTATATCATCTGTGTCAATGAAATCATTAGTGATTTGCATCCATAAATTAAATCATAAATGTTCATAAAGATTAAATTAGATTACTCGAAGTAAATCGAAAGTTACGTATGCAGAGCATTGATAAACTGAGCTCTTCAATAAGTGAAGAGTAAATAAAAATTAGATAATTGTTTTCCTCTTAGAATATTGTTTTCCTTCTTGAGACAGGAAAAACAAAGTTTTACAAAATTTCGATTATTTTTTTAACTAAACTCATGTTTATGAAAATTGCAACACCATGAAGGACTTACGCGAGTGAGCTGAAATTTTCAGGAAATGCAAAGTAGAGCATAATATGCAAATGATTAGAATTTCAGACCCGTAGCGCATGCGTATGCTGAGCAGCGCCCTCTGAACGGCGGATGGATCCGAATAAATAGACGGCTGTAGCGAGGCGTTTATGGTTATCGGTGGTTATCCGCTAGTGGTAAACGTTAGCTCAGACGTTACTTATGCGGCATGAATGCTCTAGGGCAATTCCCACTGCTGGCGTGTTGTTTTCTTCTTAAACTAAACATTTAGCGGGTAACAAGGTCTTTTAACGTAGAGCTGTCCCGCAGTGGACTGATCGTTAAGACACGGTTCCCTGCAGATCACCGAAGTCAAGCATCACTGGCTGCGGTCAGTGTGCAGGTGGGTGACCACTTGGATCAGTCTGCATAGGGACCGAGGGTGTGCGGTATTGGTCCTCGTTAAACTGTTTTACCGTAAAGTGCTCGACTTCGCGTGCAGGTCGTCGGGCTACCGAAGCGGGGGTGCCATCCCCTCTGCAGAGGATCAAAATTGTGATGGCATGTCTTCGGATCATCCTCAGGGATGTTTCCCAGACCGTCGCCAATAGCCCATTGTGCAGCTCTAGTGCGACGTAAAATGAGCAAATCAATCAATCAATCAATTTAACATAGAGCTTGTGCTTACAAAAATAGGCAATTGAAAGTGTCTTATGTCGATGCATAACAAAACTTTATCGACTTAAATTTGATTTCTGAATTTTTTTGAGTATCGATGTGTGCTATTTTTTTTAAAAATAATTTATCATTGTCTCGGTTAGTTTTATGTTATGCCTAAAAGAAAGTTGGTCAAATTCTCCAGTAGCGAGGCTGCCCCAAAGCTTAAAGTTCCGAAATCTGACACTTTTACACAAGTGGACAATATTGAACTTAATTCCAAATGTTGGCTGCAATCATTACCGAATGAAGTTCTTGAACTTATTTATAGCTTTTTGCCACTCAGAGCTCTTATAGCTGTAGAAAGTTTGAAATGTGGGAGGATTAGCGATTTAATCAGAAAAACAAGGCATGAACATTGATTAGTTTTCTAATTTACTTAGTATCCTTCTTAACGGGAAGATTTTCGTATTGGTATCTAAGCTCAAAATGTCTCCAACTTTTGCTATAAACACCAGAAACTTTAAAAAAAGTTAAAGGAAACGAACCTCTGCAAAAAATTTTTTTAAAAAAAAGTTTCAGTAAAATAAAATGTTTACGGCTTGGTGATTGTAGTTGGTATTAACACAGGGATTGGTTATTGGTTATTGCAATTACATAAATTTTCAGGCTTGTGTGCTCAAAATAGGCTTATAAACCTTCGTCACGTAGAAGAGGACAGATGACACAATAGGAGAGACAGCACCAAGTAGTACCGCCTCCAAGAGGTACCTTAATACGGGGATATTTCTGTACCGTTATCTGTCTCGCCAACTACAATCGCCAAGATGCCAAATAGATTTTAAACTTGCAAATATTTTAAAAAAAGCATGTAGATGTTGCCTGGGGGTAGCTACGAGTTATACCTTTCGAGTTGGTCCCTTACTGTGATGTGTTTTTTAGGTTCTCGCAAACCACTGCCCAAAAGTTTCCAAGACTTGCCGATTACTCTGCCACAGATCACGATATGGAAATCTCTTCAACATTAACACTTCCCTATTTGAAATTATCCGCTCTCCATTGCTCAAACATTGCGGATATAGAGTGATCTGTCGCATCAACTACAATAGGCAAGATGACAAATGGATTTTAAACATGCAATTTTTAGAAAAGAAGAAAAGACCTGTAGAGATTTGCCTGGGTTGGTAGGAATTATGCCCTTTGAGTTGGTCCTCTTGTACGATATTTTTTTTTAGCTTCTTGCAGGCTGCTGCTTCTTGCATTGGTTATTCAGCCACAGAATACTGTATGGATATCTTTCCCAAATATATCAAGTTACTTATTTTTTGTGGATATCTCCGTATCGTTATCTCTCGCGCCGACTACCATAGCCAAGGTGCTAAATAGATTTTAAACTTGCAAATTTAATAAAAAGCAAAAAAACATGTAGATATAAACTCGGAGGTGGCTACGAGTTACACCTTTAGAGTTGGTCTCTTTTCACAATATTTTTTTTAGTTTCTCAACTTCCGGGTTGGCGATTTTATCAACACAGAAATGTCCCCTGATTTTCAATAAGTTGTTTTTTGTCATTTTCCTTCTTGTTTCTTTGTGAGGCGCATTATAAAAGTAAGTTTTCCATGAATCATAAAAAGGAACACATGATTAATTGCAACAACATGAAATGAATCAATACATTATATTATAACAAAGCTCATACCCTATAAAGAATTATTGTAAATCATTTCTAATTTTTTGATTAACCTGAAAGTTGAAAAATGGATTGTGACAAAATTTTTGAAAATCACCCTATTAATAATTTGCTAAATAATGATCCATAAAAATCTGATTTAGTTGAAAAGATTAATTACAAAAGATACTACAATAACTCATCTGTTTCAGATCCACAGGAATTGTAACAGCACATGACATTTGATGGGATAAGTTTTTGTGTGTAGTATGGAGTCTGTATCTACATGTTATTATAATGGTATGCTCATGTCCAGAAACATCTGGACTTTGGCAAGTGAGATACATTTTTAAGGATAATATGTCTTATAATGAACCTGCTGCAAAAGATGGTTATTATATAATAAATCTATGATAATAAGTGGATTTTTTCATATAACAATGTTTTCTTGTAGGATTAATGATATTTAAAGTTAAATAACTTTAAAAAAATAATAAAGTGCATTTTCACTTTTATGACTAAATTAGAGATCTGTCTAGGTCTTAAGAGGTAACCTATTTTGTGAAAATTTAGTTGTAATTTGTGAAAATTAAAAATTATATTAAAAATTCATGCAAAAATATGGTAAAGGAGGAAAATATTTTGAAAAATTGTCACTACAAATAAAAATTATTTATGACTGGTAGATTTCTATACATTTTTCCCCATGTATTCAAAAACAATTTTGCTATTGTAAAATTTTGGGCTAAAAATTGTATCTAAATTACAAAATGCATAAATCCATAAAAATCATTGTCCATAATAAAATTTCAACTTGAATTTAATAAAAACATGCATTTAACAGTACTAGTAGTAAAATTTATTTTAATTATGAGAACATTTTCAACTGGGTCATCCAAAAAAAAGTTTCAGTGAAGAAATTTTTTGTATAAAAAATAAGCAGAAGAAAAAATATGTTAATTACAAAAAAGGCCCGTTAGAATAAATTTACAATAGCGCTTAAGATAATGTTCGAATTTCGACTCCCTGTGAAATTTATAGAGGGAGAGTCTTGTCGTTTCCTTTTGAAAAACTCAGCAAAAAAAAAAGATCGCTTTGATATGGCGTAAACGACCGGTTAGGCTGTCCACATTGCACTATCTGACCAAACACGTGCTATCTTTTCGTAAAAGGCAGCTGACAGAAAAGCTCTTCTTTTCCATAAATTGCAACAAGAACAGGGTTTGCATGAGAACTTGCTCTTTTATTTGGGAAACTACCGTTTTTCCTAAAGTTGAATTTGTGAAGGAACCGCTAAACGGTTATAAACTTACCCTGGACAAACCCCTGTTAATGTACATTTTTATTTTATTTATTTTATTTGATGTGAAGCAGCAGCACAGCTTCATTAGCTGAGCGGATAAAAATAATATTAAAAAAACTATCCTCAAATTCTAAAAATAAATAATCTGATTTAATAAAACTAGAGAGCTTAGAGTAGAAGAGAGATGTTAAATGAGAGACTACTTTGATTTGTCAGAAGGAAAAAATTTCTGCCTGAGGCTATTTTTCAAAATTCCCCATTCAAATAACGTGTGGAGTGGAAATTATTTACATTAAGAAATTAATATTTTGGCAAAATAAAGGGGCATAGAAACTTTATTACTACTTTTTTTACAATAAGATGTTTTATGGTTTTAGTAAATGTAAGCATTGTTGTATAAAAATGGATTACTTATTCATTATATGAGTTTATTTTTATTGGTACATAGTTTGCTCCTTATAGAATGAATGGGGTTTTAAAATATTTATTACCTTAAGAGTAATGTTTCAACCTATAATGAACAATATTTCTATCTAAATTTTAACAATTCGGGGATATTTCTGTATCATGATCTGCCTTGCGAACTACAATCAGCAAGGCAGCAAATTGATTTTAAACCGGAATTTTTTTTAATTAAAACATTTAGAGGTTTGCCCGGTTGAGTACAAGTTATACCCTTTGAGTTGGTCCCTTTCTGTGATGTTTTTTTTTAGTTTCTTGCTGGCTGCTACCCAGAAGTTGCCAAGATTTGGCAATTCTTCTATCACAGATCAAGATACAGAAATTTTGCCTACCATTATTTAAGAAATAGTTCTTTTAATCGAAGTTCAAGAAATGGACAGTATTGCAATATTACTTTGATGATTTGGCGTCGTATAGTGTTTGTCAATTAACGTTTGGTCACTTTCTTTTAATATTATTTAAGTTTACTTTTAATTTAAACCTAATGTATAGTTTTATGTTATAAATCTGTAGAGAGTGTAAATTTTTTTTCCTAGTAGAACAGTACACAGTCTTTTTTTTTATTCAATATATTTTTTAATAATTCATTCTATTATGCTTTTTATTGCTCCTGAAATCAATTACAATCACTATTTTTTGTGTTCTATTTTTTTTCTTTCTTACAATAATATTAAGAATGAGGTTAAATATATATTTTTTACTTTGTTTAAATGTCATGTATACATTTTATGCATTATTTGACGATGATTATAGTGATACTTTTTGTTATATTAATTGATTTTACTTACAATATTAAGCAGTTTATAATTAGTTATAGAAATTTTATGTAATCTCTAAATATTTTATGTTTTTTTCTTCAATTGGTAAACTTAGATTAAAAACTTTTTGCGAAACCAAAAGCTCAATTAAAAAACTTTTTACACACATTGATTGACTCTTGTAACAAGTTTCATCCATTTTCGCTATATTTTTTTGAAAATCATGTTTAATAATCCTAATATCAAAATACTTTAACTGATTATTTTATTTTAGGTTTGCAGACTTTTCTTCTTGCAATGATATTCTTCCGACTGAATTGCAGCAGTTTATTTCGAGTGACATAACAAGGCATATACGGGAAATAAACTTCACTAGCATATTCTTAGTGAATACTTCTGATTTAGTGAAAGTCATTGTGCGATGCAAACATTTAACTTCACTGACTGTTGTAGATTGTGGGGTGACATTTGATCACATGCAGCGTATTCTTGCACAATGCAAACAGTTGAAAAAGTTGTGTTGGGATGTGCTCGCCACTGTGGGTGAAGAGAGTGACACGTCAGAACTGTCCAGAAGTGTATTGCAGATTACAAAGTTGCATTTTTATATAGATTGCCCTAAGTCCTCAGAAATTGGATTCTTTTTGCTCAGACTCTGCCCGGCTGTTTCGGAAGTCTGCTTCAATTATACTTCATTATTGTCACCTCATTTACCTTTGAGAACTTGTCATAAAAATATAGTTTATAAACTCCATTCGCATCCTGTTTGTCCAGTAAACATCATTCTTGATGATTACTTTGAAAATGTGCGATCTGTGTATGACTGCATCATGGCTACGAAATGTTGTCATTGTCCCAATCCAGGTAATATTTTCGAGTACTTTTATAAGGTTATTTTAACATGAAAAGTTTGTTCACAAAGTTTTTTTATAGTGACAGTCAAAGTTATGAATGTTTTTCATCATACAGTACGAAAAAAATTATACTTTCTCTTAATAAACAAAATGTTTTTTTTTGACAGATAAAATTTTTTTAAACATAATTTAAAACACTCAAAAAAGAAGAGAAAGAAAAACAGCGAAAAGTCAAGTTTATTTATCAATCTTGAAAAATCAGGAAAATGTGAGAGAATTAAACTATCCAAAAAGTCAGTATTAGTAAAAGTCATTAATTTGAGTTTGAGGTACCTACCTAAAAGTTCTATATTTTTTTAAAGAAAAATTTGCAGTCTAATTGTTTTTTAAGAGAAAGTTTATTTTTGAATATAACCAAGAATTTATGCTTTGCAATATATATTCTATGTACAAATTAGGCATATCTGGAAAATTAATAAAATGTTGGCCTCTGATTTAAAAAATCAGGGAAATTTGATAAATTCTGTTTAGAGAGGTTATGAATTTTTTTCTTTGAAAGTTTCGTCATCCAGTTCAATAGCTTTTAGTGATTTTAGTTAAAAATATTAAATTAATGTATGTCTTTGTTACAGAAATAAAAGTTCCCATACAAATACTGATATTAGGAATTTTAAAGTAATATTTTTAGATAAATACTCTCTAATTGTAGTAGTATTTAAATGGAATTAATTGAATCGAAGTAATCATATTTTAATATCAGTTAGTATGTTTTCAAATGTCTTTTGATATGTTGATTTTTAGCAAAACAGAAAGGATCTATAAGAATAAAAGAATAAACCAAACTCCTATTCATCTGATTTGTTAATGTTTTTGTGGAGTTAAAAAAGTATTAAATCTTTATGTAGATATAGTTATGTTATGCAGATATAGTATAAGTTCGGAGAACAGTTTTCTTAAAAAAGCAAAACATTTAAAGCTGTTTTCCTCACATTGAAAAAATTCATTTAATACCTAATTCACTTTGTTTTGAGGTTTGATAAGATCTAAAATTGTGTATTAATATTAGATATAAATGAGAAATAAATAAAGTAAAGAAAAAGCCAGATGAAAAGAGTCAGATGATATTTTTATGTAATTTCTGCTGATTGCTGTTATATTTCTTTAAAATGCTTTGAGTTTGAATCGATAACTGTGCTTATCTTAGCGATATATATGTGTTATATAAAGGTCAGAAAATAAATATATAAATTTTTTAAACATCAAACAATGTCTGATAATAAACATGAAAAATAAGTTAGTAGGTTATAATTACAGATTTTAGTGGAAGAACTTGTGAATAGGTTAGTTTTGTAGAATTAGCTTGAAGTTATTTTTCAAATCATTATTTGGATTGAAACATTAGAAAATTTTTTGGGAATCATGATTTTGAAAAGAAATCCTCTTATTTGAAGACATAATAAAGTAATATCTTGGGATATCTTAATGTTTCTCAGAATATTCTTAATTAGAAGAATTTCAGTGTTTTAAAAAGGGCATTTTCATATGCTAAATTAGTTCATTATGTTAAGAATTTCTCACAAGTTGTATAAAACTAAATTTGCATCATAATTTTAAGCAATCTGATGCTGAGGAAATTTATCTTAGACCACATAATTTTATTTTTTCACTAGCAGATAAATTTATAAATGTTTTGGAAGGTCATGTCATGTAATTACTGAAACACTCTTATGATCTTGGAAAGGTGGGTACATTTTAAAAATTAGTCATAAGCAATTGAACAAATAACAATACAACTTATACTTTTTTTTATTTTTAACATTCTGAAATTTTTTATTGTATTTCGATTTTAACTAACTTTTTTAAAGCATTTACATATTTTTAGTTGGTTCTCTACATATGCCAATGACTGCTCCTTATTTACAAGTGGTTGCAAGCGCTGAAGACTATCCTTCATTAGCACTTATTCCCGAAAAAAGTGTTCCAAAACTAGTTTTGTATTATTCCAATAAGATTTTTTTACGGCAAAAATTTAAAGACATTAAAAGAGTTATTGGAAAGAACTTGACAGTGTTAGCTGTGAAAGAAATTGAAATTTTATCCACAGAAGTTGACACTGATGACGAAGAGGAAGATAAAATTTCAGTAAGTTGATAATTTCATTTAGGCATGTACAGTCTTATAAATTGTAAACAATGAATACTTTTCCAGTATAAGCAAGTGAATTTTGTATAAGTGAAGCAAGTTATAAGTAAGTAAATGTTATTTTTAATATTTTATTCTGTTAATCAAAACTAATTAAAATAATCATTTGAATTAGTTTTGAACTCTTATTCATTTTGTGANCAATGAAGTAATACACTAATGGTTATTTCCAAAATGATGGTAAGGTAAACATCTTTCAAAAAAGAATGAATCCTAAAATCTTATGAGGAAAAAAAATTTTTTTTTTTTAAAAATGGCGCAAAAATGTATCGAATTTCGTTCCGGTTTTTTGGTTTTCCGGTTTTCTGATTTCCGGATAACGGGTTCTGTACTGTATAAGCAAGTGAATTTTGTATAAGTGAAGCAAGTTATAAGTAAGTAAATGTTACTTTTAATATTTTATTCTGTTAATCAAAACTAATTAAAATAATCATTTGAATTAGTTTTGAACTCTTATTAATTTTGTAAGTGCCAAATTTTCATTAGGAGGCGGAAAAAACTACAGCTCTATATCCTTATTACAACATTTGATCAATAGTAATGTGTTTTCCGACGTATAATGCGCTGCTATCATTTCTGACAAGACAAAAGTAGGAAATAGCTGCGTGTAGTCTGCACCAGTGTATAATCTGCCAAGATAGCCAATATCATAATGCCCATTTCTATTTTATTACTGAAATTACTAATATGAAAAACGATTACGAATTCTTGTGATTTGTATAAATTTATTTGATTTAAAAATAATATTATTTTCTCATTTATAATTATTTTTTTAAAAATAAATATGGCAGATTGCGATCATTTTTATCAACAAGATTGTATGGCATCATCTTTGACTGGGTAAAAATTTGTAACTTTCAGAGATATTCTTTTCCTGGCTTGTCCTGAGATCAGGTTCTGGGTGGCTAGACGTATTACAGATGTTATGTTTCTGGTGATATTTTCATATTTAAAATTTTAATCGATAAAAGGAGTTTTAAAATTCTCAATTGATGCAATGTAAATTTACTACCACTGCTATAAATTTATTGTGCCTATGGCAAATCTGTAAAAACATTTGCTAACTTTTAATGTCTTTTAAAAAAGACTACAGTAGAGTCTCAATAATTCGAGGAGGGCGAGACCAAGCCTACATCGAACTTTTAAAAACTCAAATTATCGCAAACTTAAAATGCAAGAGATATTTAAATAAATGGAAACAAGGCAATTTTTAAATTTCAGGATTTGATTGAAAAGTATGTTATAATTAAAGAAGTTTGAGTAACATTTGAAGCTCTGGGTACGTTTTCAATATTCATTATATAACAGCATCAGGTTAATTGTACTTTAAAATAATTATCTTATGTTTTTTGTTTAAACAAAACACTGTTCACGTGTTTCAATGTTTAATACGTAAATTTGTTTTTTCAGCATTCAATCATAGTAATCATCGTAAAGCCAATCTTAATAACCGTTCCATGTGGTCATTATTGCATCATTATTGTGTGTATTGGTCATTCTTTGGAAGCAAGACTGACTTTTTTCATTTGCTCAGATTTATGGTAAATTCGAGCAATCGAAACTCGAAATACCAAAACTCTACAGTAATTTAAATGTACTAAGTATTTTATGCAAATGGAGGATGTCACATAAAGAATTTATTTGAATTCATTCATTTATTCTTTAAAAGAGGAACAATATTCATAAGAAAAGTTTGAATAGCAGAATTAACTGCTTTGTCTATTTTCTTAAATAGCTATATTTATTTTCTTAAATACACAACTCAAGCTATGTTCATTTTAATACTGTGTCCATTAGTTTATTTCGAGCAACATGCATTTTTGCAAACATTCATTTTGAGCTGTGTCCATTTTTGTAAAAATGCTTTCAGAGCTATTTCGAGATTTAAAAACTCTCCGAGGATTTATTTATTTGGCCTTAGTATGTTGCTTTATTTTTAATGAATTGAAAAATTTCCATTTTTATGATTCTGGAAATTTATTTTAAGACAGATAAACTTGCTTCAAATTTAAATTTTAGTAGCTTATGTTAGTATTAAGAATTTTTTTCTTTTGTTATTTGTTATAACTTTGCTTGTGTTGTATTTCTTAACAATTTAGTTAAGTTAAGTTTCGTTGTAACTGTTAAGATTTAGTTTTTTAAAATTCTGTTCAATTATTTTTAGATGACTGAACTGGTTTCAAATCTCATATCAGATTGCTGTTCCATTCAAGTTCTTATCTTGTCACCCATTCACTTCAATGAACCTTTGAAACTTGATGCACTCCATTGTTTGACCGGTATATCTAATCTTTCTTACTATATTTTAGAGTTTAATGTTAATTATTATACTATAGATTTTAGCTTTAAGTAAAAAAAAAAAAAAATTATATAGTGAAACTTCCAGAAAAAACCACCTCTGTTTAGCATCCACGTCTATTTACGACCACTTTTGGGAGACACAGAATTTTTTCCATAAACTTTGTGTTAAAGAAATCCTTTAGGAGAGACCATTAAAATCACTTCCAACTACCGTGCAAATATCTGCACCAAATGCAGAAAATGTGAAATAAGGAAACGCAATAAAATATCATGACAAAAAATTTAACAAGGTAAATAAGTAGATAAAATCTATTAAAAATATTTGTGTGAGACTCTAATTTAGTGAGCTCTTTTTGAAAATACAATCTGATGTTGCAATCAGAGTGCACTAAAGACGCTGCTATCAATGATTTATTTTTACAGTTGAAAGTTAAATTGCAGACGAAAAGTTATTTTTAAAAAAAAATAAACAAGCATTTCAAACAAACCTCTTCTCATTTCTTAAAGCTAATTTTTTTGATATAAAATTTAATGCAAACTTAAACAAAAAACATATTTGTTTATTTATTTAAAATAGCTTTATCATTCATAATTGGTAAATTTGTTTTAACACATAATTATACTTTTCAGTTGGGATAATTTTTATAGATGCTAAATTTTAATCATCGATCCTTCTTTTCATGACGTCAGCAGAAGTGGCACCAAGAAAATGACATTGACAGAAAATAAAACCATATGCAAAAAATCGTGTACCTTTGATAACAATTTTGAAGTCATTGGAGGTAATCTCTAAGAATGATCAACCTCCATCAACAACCAGTTTACTGTGGAACGGAGAGTGGTTTCTCCCGAGAAGTTTCACCGTATATAAATATACATATATTTCAATGTGTAAATGATAAAAAAAATTTGTAACTTATTGCAATTTTGAGAACAAGATTAATATATATGTATACGGATGATTTTCTCAAAACGTTAACTTTTGCCTGAGACAATGAAGAAAAATTCATCTTATAATTAACTTAATGTTTATAATTTTAACATTAAGACCTTACAATTAAGTATACAAATCAATGGCCAACTATGAAAAAGCTTTAAAAATAAGTTACAGTTGTAAGTTCTATTTGCATGGGAAAATGTTATTGTCCTCTGCACTTGAACACTTTAAAAACAAACGAAAATATTTAATTTTTTTCTTTGAATCAATAATTAATAAGAAAACAATACAGGGTTCATATGGGCTGGGAATATCAGAAAACCCAAAATGGTCAATGAAAACGAGACAGAAGCCTGTATTTTTGTTTCTTTTTGGGGTATTTGATAATTGTTGTTAAAATATGTTTTTTTTAATCATTTTCTTTACAAATTAGTATCGCCTCCTTAAGTTTTTCCATACTTAATTTTTGAGTTTTTTTATCTTTTACTTTCTTGCAGCTTTGTTTTATATTTTAGGATAGTTTGTTTTATAGTTAAAGAATGAAAGCATTATATATATGTGTACATTAATTATTATTTAGAATGATACAGAATTAATTTACAAAATTTAGTATACTATGTTCACAATTTTTTAACATATTTTATGTTGTTTCAAATAATAGTTTTTTTTAAACTTATGTTTGTAATAAAATTAACTTATGAATAATTTGCTGTCACTATTTTTTTCCCCAAGGCACCAAAAATAAACTCTGTGGATTAAACACTGGAACATTTATTTTGAATTTAACTGGTATGATTGATATTGTGAGGCATGTAATGAAATAAGCTTTAATGTTTTGATAAAATGAAATCACATATGCTAATTTATATAAAAAAATTTTTTTGGAATATATTCAATTTAAAAGAAAAAGAAACTGATAAATGATTTAACATTAAAAAAAACGTTTTAATTTTTAAATTCTGTCGCAAAAGTTATGAAAATTTGTTGAATTACAATTCATGAAGTTTAAATTAATAACATCAAAACCAGTTTGATTGTTTGTTGAAAATTGTGGATCCATTAATTGCTTTATATTTCCTCTCAGCTTCCTTCAGTAATCAATAAGATTTTAATATTTTTATCTCTTTTTTGTTGTTGTTTTTTCTCCAAGCATGGATAACTTTTTTTGATTTTTCCTGTTTTAAACAATAATTTGAAACCTTCAAATGTGCAAATTTCTTTAAACTTTGTATCTAACAGTGATTATAAAAATATATATTATGACAAAAATATGCCCTATTGTTTGGAGAAAATTTAGTTGATTAAATAGTGATTTCATTTTTTGTTTTTTGCTATAATATTTTTGACAATAAATTATTTTTTATAATGGAAAAAATGGTGAAAACTAATACTACCTTAATTATTAAAACATCTCTAAAAATTGAAACTCACGTGCTTCTCTTTATAGCTAATTATCTAATTTGCTTATTCTGTATAAATCATTTTTGTAAATGAAATAAACCTTTTAAAGTTTCTTTAACCAATCCAATTGCAATAATAAATTATTTATTGTTTTAACAAATATCAAATTATTTGGATTTTTCGATCAAAGAAAAGCCCTCTGTCCCCACCCAACCTGTCTGGATAATGGGTGCCCTAACATAGTTAGAAAAAATTTTAAATGCTTAATTTTTTGAAAGAGATTTCTTTTTCGATGTGGTTACGTCAATTCTGAAAGGTTTATTTTCCTAGCTGTTAAATGCTTAATATTTTGGATTTACAATATTTGCTAAGTTCTTCGTGGTGTGGTGCTAAATGAGATTTAACCCTGGATTTCTTGAAATGAAAGCCTTCCATAAGCAAGCTTGACTGCATTGAAGATTCTAGTAAGGCAAACACTTGCATGAATAAATTCAATTGTATATGGCATAAGGTTAGTTAAAGTATTTGTTTAATACTTAGAACTGTGTCTAACACCCAAAATGAAAAATATCCTTTTCAATCAATTTGAGATTTGGTAAATTTTGATTTAATTGATATTATAGGCAATAACTAGCTTTGCAAAAACAATTATTTTAATTTAATTAACATAACTATTTTTCAAAATGTAACTTGCCTAGTTTTTTTTAAGAAAAAAGACTTATCTTGAAATAATGTTAAAAATGTTCTATTTAAAAACTATCTTTCAGGTTTAAGAACTCTGATATTAACTTCATGTGCTTTTAACTGTGATAGGTCTCTACCTTTTTCTCACACATCAAAAGTAACCTCCCCTCAGGTAACGTCTATTTGCTTCCTTGTCTCACAATCCAAACTTTTATCATATCATTCTATAGAGTGCCTGTTTATAGTACTATTGAGAGCAAGTCATTTTATTGAAATTATTGGAGTTGTATTTAGTTAATGTCACTCCTTTCAATTAATAAATACAGAAACTACTTGTAACCATATTAAAAATGTATGAAAATAAGATTTTTCAAGCATATATCGTTAAAACTTTTTGAATATCAATGCTAGTATGTTGAGTAATGACTAAAAGACTACTGTTATCAATCAAGTTAAATGAATTGAAGCTTAAATTACATTTTTTAAATGAGTTAAAATTATTTCTCACTCTGACTTTATTTGATTTTAATGGATACTGAAATCTAATTTTTGCTAAAAATTACCTTATAACCAAAATACTCTTCTAAAGTTCTTTTATTAAATAATGCAGCTAAAATATTTTTAAACTATGCACGGTTGCCACATGGTACATATATATAAATAAAATTGTGGGGAGAGTAGTTATCGACCATGTCAACCTTCATCTATGAAAAGGTACCCGACATAGAATCAAGTTAACACGTCTTATATACTAGTGAATTGGAATTGTATTTTTGCAGTATTAGACACACTAAAGTACTCCCCCATCAGAATTATATCTGTGATGGAATTCCATAAACGGATACCATTAGTTGATTCATTGCTGTTTTGTGAGAAGCCTGAAGAGCTGTATTAAGATCACTGTACTTTTGAGTGCTGATCGTCAGAGCTATATTAAGTTCATGGACGTGGTTGCTCCCTTATTGCCTTTAGCAGTCGAGTGAATGTGTTGTATGTGATCGTGACTGAGTAGCAACAGCGGAGGTGGATAATGTTGCAGTCAAAAGTAGCAAGTCAACTGTTCAACGTGGTTCATCCATAGAAGTAGGCGTGTTCAAATCGAAGTGGGCGTTACTGTCAAGATAGGCGTGTTCATATCGAAGTGGGAGTTTCTGTCAAGGTAGGCGTGTTCACATCACGTCCGGGTCACCAATGTGGAAATAGTAGTTATCGGTAGTGTTCGTCCTTAAATATCCTTCCGCGTAGGAACTACTCTGTTTGATCTTCTTACCTTAGGCTTTCAACCCAAACCTTGATCCTCCTGCCTCGGACTCCCATGGTTTTCTAGCTGACACAATTAACAGACTCTACAAAAATAGATAAAAAATAAAGAGTGTTACTAACTTCTTCTTTTATATTCGTATAATTTTGGTGCATCATATCTTTTATCTCTAATTTAGCTTTAGTAAATATTAGTGAATAAATGAAATTTTGTTACACTTTTTGATAATATTACATGTGACTGTGAATGTTGATTTTTTCTATGTGAATGTTGAGGATGTTTTAATAGATATTATATATATCTAAATATTTTATAGCAAAAGAGCTTTGAGGAGTTAGTACGAAGTATCAAAGATGTCGAACATTTCTCGATAATAAATTGGTATGTATTTGAAATATTTTCTCTATTATTATTTTTTTTAATTACTTTGTTTAAACTTATTGAATGAGTTTAAAAAATTTTTGTTCCCAATTTACCTAAATAAATTATAATTTTTATTTTCTATTTCTACTTTATGTTAATATTTTTGAATAAAGTACTTCTGTTTTTTTAAAAAAAGTATTACTGTACAGTTTTATTATTTATAATCATAAAATGAAGAGTTTTTCTGTCTCTGTATTTTACTCTTATAACTTCAGAACTGTTTACACTAGCCTCTTGAAATTTAAACAGCACATGGAATGAGAATTTTTACCTCAATCCTAAAAATCTTTCAAAAAATTTAATTAAATTGTTCTTGAGTGACATTTGAAAAATGAAATTTTATTATTGGCACAGAACTCAGTTAAACTACAGATGATTCTCTTTCTTCAAATATTTTAAAGAAAACACATCAGTTTATTGATGCCAATGATGCTTAATCAATTTTTGTAATAGACTCTATTGATATCATGGTGTTTAGTGCAGTTTTAATAGGTATCAAATATACTAAACTTGATTGTGGAAAATTTTTCTATTATGAATTGGCCTCAATATAAAATACAGTTAACCTTTGTTTCGATCGGATAAATTGCCAAGATGTTTCTTACTAATCTAATAATGTAAAACCAATTCAGAGTGCAAAAGATATAATTAAAAAAAATGTTTTTTTCAGCTATAGTGATTGTGTTAGTGTATGTCTTTCAGCTTTGTGCATGGTTTTATAGTGTTTTTCATCACTTATTTATTGATTGTTTGCTTTTTTCACCTCAAACGAAGAACAAATATTCAACTAGCTTTATATAATGAAATACCTATCTATGTTGTTAAATATTAAATCTCTATCTAATTCTTTCATAAATAATTTCTCTTTATTTTGTTTTTCAAACCAATTTTTAAAAATGTTTCAAGACATTTCTTCCTAGGCAATCATATGATACTTCAACTGTTGTTAAGTATTGTAATAAAATGAAATTTTGCTAAGTTTATTTTTGTGTCACTATTTAGTTTTACTCATTTAATTATCTCCAATTTTTTAATGACATCAATTTAATGTAAGTTATTATTTAATTACCATTTGAATTACTGTAAAATTCTCTCAACCAAATACCTTTAATATAATTTTTACTTTAGCAATAATTTGGGGTCCTGGGAAGACGTCTTCAACTTCTGACTTTCTCAAACTTTTACAAGAACACCCATTTTTTGTAATAGAACCTCACTTTTCAGAATCTCTTTCATCCAATATCTTTTATTTTGTTTTATAACCGTCGTTGAACAGCCGACCAGATTTTTTATGTTTGCGACTACTACAGTTCAACTCCGTATCCTTGTAATTTTGAACCCAATCAAGAAGACAAGGGAACTCTTGGATCAAGTATTGGGAGAAATTTGCCTTTGTGGAGGATTTTTTGATGAAACTAACCCGCATTTGCATTACATGGAGAGGAAAAACCTCCAATGGTTAGTCTGACGGCAAGGGGACTCTAGCCTATGATTAGGGTTGCAAGTTTGTCGCGGGAAAAAAAGACACAAATTCGCGGGTGATTCGCGCAAAAGTTTTAAAAATTCGCGAAATTTTCGCGGATAACATATGCACTGATATTTACACCGAAAATCAATTTAAAAATAATAAAAAGCATAAAAAAGTTACAAAATTTTATTTTCAAGCAATATTAATGCCGTTACTTAAATGTACAGAATTTTGATACAAAATATTATACAGTGCCCGCGGCTAATAAAATCACCGGATAATAAAATCAGCCGCATTATAAAATCAAATCGGCAAGAACCGAATCGTTACAATATTAATACATGTTAAAAATCATCCTTTAATAAAATCAATGCCGCCGCTTTTTAAAATCAAAATTTTGACTACATAATAAATCAAAGGTGCAATATTTCAGCTTTTTTTGTTCTTATTTATAAAATTTTATTTTTTCGAAGTTTAAAGATTTTTTTAGAAGAAGCAACAGTTACTCACAAACCTGTGAAACAGGTGTGGTTAGCACTTTCCTGCGATATACATAGTGTAAGAGTTAAGGAAAAATGTGGGTGGTAAGCGGCGAGTTCATAGAAATCAATTTATCAATGTTAATTCCTTGACTTGAATGAAGTTTGGAGAAACCTATCTCACTCAACAGGGGGTCGAATTCTTATCTTACTTTTTATTGAATGAACCATAGAAGGGAGAGAAGTTTCTTTTGTTATCTATCTTAACAGAGAACATGAATAGATTTCCAAAAACTGTCTGTGCACATGTTCCATATTATTTAAGCCGTTTGAGTAAATTATAGTTAGAGCACATATCATTTTTAAGTTCGTTTGGTATTAAATTTTATCAGCATGCCGAAAAGGCAGGTTTTGAGTCTTAAAGATAAATTCGCAGTGTTGCAAAACTATGATAAGCTTCCTAAATGTACAATGGGGATGGAGATGGGGCTCATAACTGTTTCGAAGAAATGCTCAGCAATGAAGAAAATGAAATGGACGAGAATTTTTCATGTTACGTAGCTATTGACGATAACCTGCAAACACCAGGAGAAAAATCTGATTCTAAAATAGTTACAGACATCAAAAATTGCAAAGTTGTTTCCCATCAAGAAATGGAGGAATCAGACTCAGAAAACGAAATAAACTCATCAGTGCCATCTTCAATGGAAGTCAGAAAAGCACTTAATGTATTGCGGCAAGCTTTAGAACAAAGAGAAGGAATATCAAAAACTATAAAAACTTCTATAAACTCTCAAATGATGTTGAAAAGTTTATTTTAAATACTGCAACTCGAGCAACCATTGATCGGTGTTTTGCAAAACTTTTGTAAATTTAATCTTATGTAGGGTTTTACTTTATTAAAATAATTAAATTAGTTAAAATAAAGCATTAATGTGGTCATTATTTCAGCTTTTAAAGTGCTTGCATTTAGAATATATCGTAAAATTTGTTTTTTGTTTCAAATATTGAATCCCCTCTTAATAAAATCAGCCGCTTAATAAAATCAAAAGAGCATAAAACGAAAGTGATTTTAATAAACGGCGGGCACTGTACATGGTTAGGTTATTCTTGCTAATGTTTCTCCTTTCATCACTCAATACAATTTTGTATTTTGAAAAAGATTGTTCGGCATCCACGCTATTAGTTGGTACTGACAAACATCGAATTGCCACTTTAGACAGTTTTGCATAGTATTCCATCTTCGATTTTCAAAACAGAATTAATTGTCTACTTTCAACGTGTAGTTCATTAACTGTCGCTTTGTAAGCATTAAATTCGTTCTTCAACTCTTCTTCATCCTCAAACATGGGGATAGAGTTAAAAATAAAAGAACTATCATCTTCTTGGAAAACATCTAAGTATTTAAATTGACTAGGATCAAAAGCTCTGCATGCTTTAAAAAAGCTTGATGCTGGTTGACAAAATCTGTGTGTTGTAATGTTGCCTTCAAAAAAGTATGCCTGAATTTTTTCCTGGCATGATTTTAAAGCTTTTTTAGATTTCAAGTGCTGGCAGGTTATAGATTTGCTTTTTAAATCTTCAGCAAGATCAGACATTTCATTAAAAATAACATGCGAACTCTGTTATCTTGCTCGTATGGCTCATTTTACCATCTAAGAAGAACTGAAAACTTTCCTTAACCTCGCTTGAAAATGAAATGAGATATTTTGAGTAGACTTTGCATTATTTTTGTAGGAATGAAAATTAAAATACACTTTCCTGTTATCCATCAAAAGATTAAAAGAGCCGCTCTTAAGTATTCTATTGTTAACAAGCATTTCCACATGCCTTTCTGTACCTATTGAAATAATCAGTGTAAATATATGTACCTTCTCATTACTAGGAATTTCCTGTGAAAGAGTCAATTTTTCTTCTTCTTTTGTTTTCCTTTATCTTTTATATTCTAGTTGACTGTTAGGAAAGAGAGGCATTGGTGTCAATCAGTCAACAAAAAGATAAGAAGACCACTCTTTTTGTGACCACCAGTCTTCAATCAACTTTTCAGTCCTACTAATTCCAGCAATGAAATTCAATCCCCCAAATAATTTGTTATCTACAAATGTCTTGTGGTTGCCCCCCCCCCCTTTACATGGTGAGTGCTATAAGATGGGGGCTCATACAGTGAGAGGACTGTCCCTCTGGTCAATGGAGGGGGAGATAAGAATTGATAGATTTATGAAGAATTAGAATGTAGAAAATCTTATCTTTCAGTTTGTTCATGGTATTCAATTTCAATGCAAAAGCGAGGAGCTTGTATAGAGCCTAACCCAATTCTAATGTCATTTTGCTAGATACTTTTGTGAATGCTTTGAAAAAATATAATCAATTTTTAAACTTCAGAAAAATAAAAACTACAAATATATTTTTATTGATAAGATAAAACAAAAAAAATAACTTCAAATTGTGAATAATTTTCATTTAAATCGCACGAATTGAATAACTTTCGTTCAAATCGTGCAATTTTAAAAAATATGCGAATTTTTGAAAACTTGAAATTTTGCGGAAACAGTCGCGAAAATTCGCGCCGCGACAAACTTGCTACCCTACCTATGATCCAACTACGACTGAGGATATTTTGCATCAGTACTGTGATCATTGCAAGCTGTATGCAGAATTCCTATCAACCAGCCATCAGTGGGATTCGAACCCGGTTTACCTCATTGGAAGGCGAACACTCTATTCCTTGAGCCATCATGGCTCAATAGCTGCTATTTACAAAAATCAATTTTACTATTTTTTTTCTGCAATTTTTTTTTTCTTTTCCTACTTTTATAATAATATATTGTGGTGAGTTTCTGCCCTAACAATGAAACCCTTTTTTCTCCTCATATTCATTAAGTGTTATAAATATTATCACGCCATATAATTATATAAGAACACTGGCCAGTTTTAGCTTTCAAAGTCTTTTGACTTCTTCTTCTGAATAGTCTTTAATATTAATAAAAAATGTAGGTGGAAACCTTTTTTATAAAGCAGAAAAGTGACAGAATTTTTTTAGCCTTAGAAAATAAACTGCTCTATTAGGAAAAACAAATTTTAAAAAAATGTGTCATTCTAGTTCTTTTGTTTAATCAGTGCTACCCTGAACTTGATTGTAACTATTGTGTTTTGCATGTTATATTAATGGCCATTGATTAGTGCCAGGGTCATGTAATTTCGTAAAGTTTTGTGCAGATTAAGTGAGGGGGGAAAAAGAGTAAGAGGAATTTCTGGAAATTTAAAACATTAATAATAAAAATAAAGTTTTAATCTCAAAAATCCATTTGCAGCTATTGCTGATAAGGTATAAACAACTTTGGTAACAAAATTAATTTTCTCAACATTGGTAAAACCTCCAATTTAGATTTATTAACATGAAATATATTTTCAGTGAAACTTCTCAATTGCAACCACTTCCAGTTAATCAGTGCAAATGAGTTTTCTGGGAGGGTAGTCCCTCCTAAAATCATCAATTTTGGATTGTTAAAACAATTTACCTAAATTAATATATACAAATCATTCAAGTTTTGCATTCATAAAGAAAACTAAATTTTTTTTGTGTTGAATACTATATACTCTATAAGTTGTACAACATACATATTTTAAAAAAAAAATTCAAATGCTCTTAAGATATGAAATGTAATGGCATTTTCTATCAGGCTTTCATCGTAAAAGTGTGTTTTTGTATAGGTTTAACAGGAGGAAAAAAGCAAGAAAATTTTCCAACAGAGGAAAGAGTTGCCTTGTTTCTCTTATATCTTCTACATATTTAACATAAGTTCATAAGTCATATAAAATGGTCATTGATAGAGGTCATGGAAGTTATCTGCGCTTAACCAAACGAATATTGAATTACACATGTGTTAATCCTACTCATAGGTAGGTCCTTTGTAATACTCTTAACTATTCTGATTAATTGAGCTGATCGATTTCTGTGAGCAACCAATTAGAATTTCTCTAGTCAGTGAAAGTCAGCTGTGGATAAATGAATCTGTTTCATCCATTTGTTTATTAGCATAGTTTTTGTTCGACATCCACTTCGGTTTCCTTTTATTCCACTTCTGCTTATTTAATATATAAAATAGTCATTGAACAAGGTCATAGAAGTTATCTGCTCTTGACTAAAAGAATATTAAAATATGCTCATGGGTATCCCACAAATCGGTGAGAACATCATAATAATCTTAGTCATTCTGATTAATTAAACTGATTGATTTCTGTAAGTAACCAACATGAATTTCGTTATACAGCTATGAATAAATGCATCTGTTTCATGCATTTTTTTATTAATGTAGTTTTTATCTGACATCCACTTCTGCTTCTTTTTATTCACAATTATCTTGATTTTTGGTTTTATTGAGAAAAGAGGATGCTAATCTAAAAACAAACTTATAATTCATTTCAAGGAATAGGAAGTAATTGAGAAAAATGTGTTTGTCAGGAAAATTGAAGTTTATTTTGTAAATTTTAAAATTCTTGTGATGTTTGAGAACTTTCTTGACTATGCCATATTGAGTTCTTTAAAGTTTCAAATCTCCCTTAGCGATTCTTACAAATATTTGTTAGCTTTTCAAAAACAAACATTGCTTTTAAGATTAGAGTCTTTATGGAAAAGGGCTAAATTATCCATTATTTGGATTAATTTGCAAAATTTATTAAAAATAAAACTATTAAGGAATGTTTTAATTAAAGCAGTCTTTTTACTTAAATTTTTGCTTAAAGTATTTTTTTTCACTATTTTCTTCAAATATTTTTCAAATATTTTAATATTTTCTGATGTAATGTTTTATCATACCCTGTTATAAATACAATATATACTTAAGTTGGAAATTTCACTCTTCAGTTTAGCATTTTCTAAATTTTTTTTTTCTCTTTAAAAATATGAACAATATAAATTAGCCTTCTTATTTAATTCAACTATATTTATTGTGTGTCAAAATAGGAAAAGGTAGGTTTTATAATTATGATTGAGGTATGATGTGAATATTCTTTTTAATTTTATCTATACTTCCAAATGTTTCTGTAATGTATTTACATTTTCTAGTGAGCATTGTTGCCCTGGACATGGTCCAAAAGACAAAGAGCTCTCGGCCATTTCAAAATGGAACAGACTGAAAAGTTTGAGTTTAGTGAATGTGGAAAGCCTCCAGTTTTGCACTTTCTTGAGAGACATTGCTGTAGAATGCCCAAATTTTAAAAGTTTGGAAATCTTAAACCCAAACTATAAAATTGTACACAACTACATCTCAAATGTTATGAGCTTATTGATACATTCCCCTCAACTTATGCAGCTATGGTAATTATATTTGTTTCTATAAATGGTTTCATATAACTGTGCGTTTAAAAAGTGCTTACTTTTAGTGCTTGATTGTTACTTTCAAACTTTTCACATTTGAAAGACTTTTTTAACTATTTGTAACAAATTATATTCTATAAACTTCTTCTATTATATTCTATATTTCTTATCATTTTTAGATTTTGAGAATGTCAAAAGCTGAAGTTATTTATTTTTATTAATTTTATTATTATTTTAATAAAAAAAAATAATTTCAGCATAAGCTGTAACATGCAAAGCTTAAGTTTCAAAAAGGGGAAAAACAAAAAAGCTACAACAAAAATTTTGATTTATTCTTCAAAAAAAAAATTCTTTAAGAAAATAAAATCCTGTTTTTAAAGCACAAAATTACAATAAGTTTTATAAAGAATTACAGCAAAAAATAATTTTCCTAAATATTATTTTGAGGTAAAAAACATAAAGTATAAAAATTTTTCACAATAAATTTATTTTAATTGCTAAGTATTTTAAGAGTATTCAAATCAACTATATACATATATTGAGTTCTTAATATAATTTTAAAAAAAACTATTCATAATAAGTAAATAAGGAACGCAAATTTGTTTCTGAATAGTCTTTTGCTAAGTAATAAGAATAATTGTAATTTTCTCACTTCAATTAATTAATAATTATTACTTAGAAATGTATAATGCATTGATTTATTTATTTTAGAATTATTAAGCACTAAGATATTTAATAATTTGAAGAAATAGTGTGATAAATCAACAATAACCATACTTTGAAAATGCTATATTTCTAAAACAGGAGTTGAATTTTATAAATTAGTATAAAAATAATTTCTAATTATAGCAAATTTCTATTTTCTTAGAGAATAAAATGTTTAAATTGAACACGAGCATAAATTGAATATTAAATATACAATAAAAAAAATTAGATTAGTAATTAATTTCATCTTTTTAAAATTCTTTCAGCTTTAGTAAAATAAAAACTTCCAACTTAATTATTTGCCAAAATTTTATGTCTAAATTGAGTTATATCACTTAAATTTTAACATTAGCACATATATTGTCGCCATGAAGTATAGATGTTTTTCATATACCTAGATGCCTGGAAGCACTGATGTTAGCACTTGTTAGATAAAAATCACCATCCTAACATCTTTGCATTTTTACGCGCTATTGGAATTTTAAGTTGCATGTAATTGTTTTATACTTTTTAGTGTGTTAGTAAATTTACCATGCAGTTTTATTGATTTTAATGTATGTAACTTTACAAAATTTTTTTTAGAATTTTCACTGTCTTATCTGATTTTATGCATGTGCTTTACTTAACCTTTTAATCTGTTTTTAAAACCTTGTGTTTGGCGCAGTAGGTCCTTTTTTGGACCTTGTGCCACTAAACCCCACACTCAATTCAATTCTATTGAAAGAATATTTCACATAAACCTTAAATGTTGGCAGGTATGTTTTTTTGAAATTATTTGTTAACATTTAAAAATCCTTCTTTAATTTTGCATATACTCTTAAAATAGTGAAATGAAAAAAATTTGTAACCAGCAGTATATAAAGTAATGGTTAGAGAATAGAGGTGATCTCAAAACAAAACAAAAAACATCGTAATACCTTTTCTGAACGAAGAAGATGTATCTTAGTGACCTTATGACGTATCAGATCATTTTTATTGCATTACTTACAGAGGCATTTTGGTTTAATTTGTATGTTTAATAATAAAATAAACATTGATAGAAAACTGTCAAGTTTTGGGATTCAGGAGAGAATTTATATTATATTAGCTAAATTTAAAAATTTTTTTTTTTGTATTATAAATGTTGATGTCCTTGTGTATTAGAAATCACAGATCATGAATTAGAATCATTATTATTATTATAATTTTTTTTTGCATCACTTACAAAGGCGTTTTGGTGCAATTTTTAATAATAATACAAACATTGGTGAGAGAAAACTATCAAATTTTGGCATTCGGGAAGGAATTTTTTATAAATTAAGATTGAATACTAAAACTTTTAAGATGTTGTAACTGATTATTTTTCTGCAGTATAAGCATAGATGTTGTATGTATTAGAAATGAAAAATTATTATTGGAATTAGGATAATTTTTTTTTTGCATCACTTACAAATTTGTTTTGGTGCAATTTGTATGTTTAATATTGAAATAAACATTGGGGTGAGAAAACTATCAAATTTTGGGATTCAGGAGAGAATGTTTAATAAATTAGAATCGAAAACTTGAAATTTTAAAATATGTTGTAACTGCTCATTATCTTATACCATTTCTTAAAATTTTCCCTTTTTTTTTTCTGCAGCATAAACGTGGATGTTCTGTGTATTAAAAATCAAAGATTCTGGGATTCTATTTCTTCAGCCAAAAATTTGCAAAGTCTTTGTTTGACACTGAGAGCATCTGCAAATTTTTATCCCAAGCCACTTGCTGATGCTATTGAAAAGGTATTTTGAAGTCTTTTTTATAAATATTGAATCAATTAAAATTGGGTAACCAATTTTATGGTTTTGGAAAAGCTATTTTTCTCCTTTCCTCATTCTTTCTCTCTTTCTTTCTTTCTTTCTTTTTTTTAAAGGCAACTTATAATTAACACTATAAAATAGCACCTTAAAATTATATTCCTGAAGATTTACTAGTATAAAAAAATTTAATTATTCACATTTTAAATTATTGTGCCGACCTACATAGTTCACTACTGTTTTTCAATATCTGAGAATGACGAAGACAATTACAAATTCTTCTTTTAACTTATCCAATAATTTTTTTAAAAAACAAAACATAGAATTTGTAATAATAAATTTCAAAAATTCAAAAGTTCGTATTCAAATGTCCAAAAATTTTTAATTTTGCAATTTGATTTTTTTTTTTTAAGAAATGTATTTTTTTAACCTAAACGTGCTCAAGAAATTTATAATTCAAGGAGATGTATTCAAAAATTAAAAGTGTAAGTAGTTTAGATAATAATTAAAAGGAATTATTTTTACAAAGGAAAAAGTTAAAAACTTTTATTTTTATTAAAAGCAAACAATTTATTTTATTTTATGCAATGAAGATTGTGTACACAAAATTTATAATTCTATTTACTCTTGGAATATTTTACTCATATTCGTAAAAATATGATATCTGTTGTACTTTGTATTGTAATTAATTATTTTTAGATGAATTGCAAGTGTTCCTATGGTGATGAATTGCAAGTGTTCTTAAGTAATTGTTAGTTGGCATAAAAAATTAATTCATTACAACCTTTGAAATCTACATTTTTGTGACCCTCCTTCTAAAATGCTTTTCAACTTTTTGCTTCAGACATAGTTTCTAGCTCTTTTTGATATCAAGGTTTGAAGTTTAGTATAAGTTTATTCTGCTGTACAATTGGAAAACAAAAACGATGTAAGTTCTTCATGGTAGATTTCGAGAAAAGTGGATTAACAATTATTTTCTTTCCCCTGCTCATGCTATCAATGCTGAAGTAAAATATCAGAAAATTGATTTTTGAAAAAAAAGTGAGTTTAAAAAGATATACCTTATTGTACAGAAATGCCAAATATATTAATGTCACTTACGTTGAGTTTTCTATTACTTGGGAATATTTACCTTGATTTATTCATGTCATATTTGCAACTGGTTCTTGGCCCATTCATTATGAATGCAGTTAATAATACTTACTAAGTGAGGAAAATGAATTATGTATTATTTAATAATATTAATGTTATCAGGTTTGTAGTTTTTCTGATACCAAATTGTTTTGCCCTTTCTTGAATTTTTGCTTTTTGTCATATTCTTGATTTTTATATATATTCAGAACATTCTATTTTCTAAGAATAGAAATAATGATTTTGAAACATAAGATTTGAAGAATCGGAAGATCTTTATTTTTGATCCAACATCTTTTTAATAAGCTTGCAAAATTCTGAAAGAAGATAGTTCAGTCTAAGAAAACCTACACTCAGGTCTACAGCTTTCACCACAGAATACATTGTTTCATATTTTTTTTAACAAAAAACTCACTTTACAATTTTACATTATCAAGTTAAGTTGCTTAATTCAAAGATCATACACTTACATGTTATTTTATCAAAGGACGAAATTTAGCAGTTTCGCAATTATTGATTTTTCTCTTTCATTTAATTTTAAAAATGATTGATTCCAAGCAACAATATCATAACTAAAATTATTTTAACTGATGAATAAAGAGATCATCCACTAAATTATATTTGTACAAAAATGTTATCTGTGTTTTTGTTCAAAGATTAATAAAACCCTACTTTAAAATTGTTTGATTCAGGAAGTTTCGAACTCAAATACAAGTTTTATTATTTAAATGTTTGTCTGAGAAATATTTAAGAATTGAGTTTGTTTATCGTAAACTCAATTAGAAGTTTTTATTAAATATTAATGTGAGAAATGTTAACTAATTGATACTGGTTGTTTTTTTACTGCAATAGTATTATAAAAATATTCGATATATTGCTGTTGAACTATTAATCATTCAGTATTCCATTAATAAAATTATATTGGAAACTGTGAAAACTTTGTTTTAAACAAGCAATTCTGAAATTAAAAATAGTATTTTTATTATTCTTTTGTAATAAAATTTTCTTTTATGATATAGTAGAGATAATTATACTTATTTTTAGTTTGTCATTAGTTTGCTCCTTTAAAAAGTCATATCTTATATTTATACTGCTCCAAAAAATTTGCACTTTTTTTGTTATGATTTTTTTAAAAAAATATTGACTTGATTATCATTTTTTTTATTTTTATGAAGCCTGTGTTATTTAATTTTTAATAATATGCATTATTATACATAACATTATTACTAATCACTGAATACTATATTATAGTAAATTGTTGAATATTAATGAATATAAGTGTACCAACTAATATTATGTATTGTTATTAATACTATACTTATTTTTAGCTACCATTGTTACATGTTTTCCATTTAAACTCTCCAACTATTCATGAAAATATTGCTTTAAGAGTTACGTAAGTATTTCCTATATTGTTTATGAAATACTCTTAACAATTCAAACATAAACATAAACAAAAATTATTATTTACAATAATTTTTATTCAAAAAAAATATTAACTTCTCATATTAATGCGATTTGAACTTTCCCTAAAATTACTTTGCTTTAATAATTAATTTAATAATTTACAAGTTTGGTAATATAACAATAATTTATAAATTCATATAAACACACTATATGGTACGCAGTTTGGCATACCATGCAGTGGGCAGCATATCTATTAATGTTAGCTACATTTTCAAATTACGCAGAAGAGAGCTTTCAACCAAAAACACTTCAATTTTCATTCAGACAATAGCTGTGTTTTTCACTGTTATCAAGCAAAAATTATGCAGACTATTAAAGCGCCTGTGTAAAAATGTCACCTAGGGTGAAAATGTGGATTATCATTACATTTTCCCCAGCATTTCATATGTCCGCTTTATTTTCATACGTGCTATTTAGAGCCACTTACAAAATTCTGTGATAACTATTTGTTTAAATTAGCTTAATTTTATGTTTCAAATTATGAATAAGATTCTTCCGACTTTCTTCATCAGATTATTTGTATACAAATATTAAAAATTGCATTGAATTTATACAAAGAGAATGTGCTAAGTTATATGTCAATTTTTTAAAAAATATTTCTATATTATTTTGTTATTTTACGTTATCAATACATTACATTACTCAATCATGATTTAGATTAACAGTTTAATGTATTCTTAATGTACAAATATAATAAAAAAATTAAAATAAGTATGCTAATAATTGTGATAAATGTGACCTTATAGTTATAACCCCCAGTGTATATGGTATCTTTGTGGCATGTTTTAGCATCCTAAAGTTTGTTAATAGTTTGTGTATCTGTTTTTCTGAAGAAAAAAAATCATCGAAAAATTAAATTCTGATAACTTTATGCTTTTCTTTATATGTCATGGATGCTATTTCTAAAATACAGTCATCTAATTCCATGCAATAAAAAGTAGCAAACAATGAAAGTTATTGCCCTCTTTCCTTGCAATTGCATGTAGTTATATTTTCTGCTTTTTAAAATCTTGACTATTTTACTATTTTTCTTTAGGAGAATTATGAAGAGGCACGGAGTGAAATACCCTAAAGTTGAAGTGACAACTGTGCCTTCCATATCATCCAATCAAACTTATTGTGATAGTCCACATATTTATATTGCATAGTAATTATTATACAGTATGCTCTCATTATCTCTAACTTTGATATCTTGAAAACCTTGTTATATCAAAAAATATATTTCCACATAGTGTTATATATCCAACTAATGTAAATTTGAATTCCTATGTCTAAGAGTTTCTTCTCAAAGTCTTATTATGTTAAATTTTTTCAAAAAGGAAAACGAATTTTTTCGAAAAAAAGTCTATGTAAGTTTATTGTGCGCCAGTTCTTTTCTAATTAATGTATATTTATTTTTGTCTTTTTTTAAAATAAAATTGTTGTATTTAGACTTACAATCAACTATCATTACTTATTATTAGTTGTTATTCTTTTGTTTCATGACTTTACTTTTTAGAGTAATATTTTAGAATATATTTTTCTACTTTTTAGAAACTTTTTAGTTCTGAACTTGTTATCTCGAAAATTCGCTATCTTAAAAATTTTTTAGCTTTCCTTCAACTTTGAGATTTTGAGAGTAGTTTAGACCAGGGTATCTTAAATTGTTGGTCACGACCCCAGTCGCCAAAAATGATATCAATTTCGATATTTCTTTGGTTTATTATTTTGCAAATACCCAATATTTTTACACAATGAAAGTTGCTTTTATTATAAAAATTTTTAGAAGATTTTTGGCTCTGAGTGGCAAAATAATTTCCAGCGATTTTAGAAACTTCCTCTTTTTCATATGACATATTTGCGTGAGACAAAGTGTCAATCAAATCTATAGAATATTGTTCAAGTGCTTATTCCTACAGTATTGACTGTTTTGCAAAGATTTGAAAATAAATATGTGCTTTTGGATGTAAGTGAGTTTTCTCTGTAGTGACTCCTACAGGTGGCTACACTTAATGGACAAGCAATAGAATTCATTCAACCAAACAATTGAATTTATTTTTATTATAGTATTATGTTTTTAATTTTGTTGCTTATTAAGAATTTTTACATTGTTTCATGAATTAATGTTAATGACTTAAAACTGCAATAGTGTATTACAGTACAAGTAAAGAAACTGACAGTTTCAGTCACGCAAGTGTAGGATTTGCGCAATGCTTATGGGGTTCCACGAATTTTTCTTAAATAGTATGGGTTCCAATCACCAAAATGTTTAACAAACCCTTTTTTAGAAGTCCTATTCAAATGTTTTTTATATTATCATTGTTATTGTGTTATTTATATTTTGTTTACATTGTAGTTTCAATAATAATAAATACCTTAGAAAAAGTGATGTACTTTCTTGCTATGACTGTTTTTTCCGCTGCTATAAAAAAGAAACTATTTCTTATGTAGGGATAATTGAAGAAATTATATATCAATAGAGACATTATTTATTTACATAAATGTCTGCCCCCTAAAAAATTTGGGAGATTTTATTTTTAGTAACTAATAAAAAGCCTTGCTTAGCGAATGCGAAAAGATTACATACGTTGAATAACATCGTCTTAGTTGCTTATTAAAGAAGAAAAACTGTCTTCTCAATCATTTAGTTAGTTTTTGTTCATTAAATTACTCTACTTTCTATGGCGATTGTTGGCTTTTTTTGTTGGGACGGTTGACTTATTTATGTGTGTGTGTTATGTATGTGTCTTTCTATATTTATATATATATGTTTGTGTATTATGTAAGTATCTGTATATATATATATATATACATACATACATACATACATACATACATACATACGTACGTACGTACGTACGTACGTATGTATGAGGACACACACACACATCGAACAAGAAAAAAAAAAGTTACCATAAAAAATTTTATCATAAAACAAGCATATTCCTGTTTAAATTACGTACGTACGTAAAAAATTTTAAAGCTGTTGACAGTTATTCTCAATCAACCGTTTTTTCTTTTCAGGATTTTATTAATGCAATGGCAGACCAGAAGAGGTTCATAGATTCAAATAATATTTAAACATTAATTTTTGTGGCTCTAATCCATATGAATTTGAACATTTATATTCGGGAAAAAAAATTTCCTTCCGGTTTTTCTAAAAGCGTTTCTTTTTCAGGCTTTGAATATTTTAGGTATTGTGGTTAATTGTATGATGTAAAAAAATATTAATTCTTTTTCACCCTTTGGTAATCTTCAAAATACTCAAAATTTGATCACTTTACAATTTGAGGAAACAATTTTGCAATGATTCGCCTTTCTATATCGCCCTCAATTTAACTATTTATTCTTTTAATTTTTTTCCTGCCATTGCATTTTATCTTCAACTAAACAGAAATATGCTTATCAATTAAGGCAGAAATTTTTTGGATCGTGCAAGGTCAAATGGCTTGAAAATTGCAGTTACAAAAAGTTTAATTTAAGTATAGAAATCTAATTAGAGATAAAATTTTTATTATTGAACATAAAAAAAATTCGAAGCATAAAATTAGAATATTTTTTAAAAAACCAAATTCATAGTTAAAATATTGATCATTATCTCATTAAAAAAATTTTTTTTTTGTCAGAAGTGAGATAGAAAAATAACTTATAAGTTTACCTACGATAATTAACTACAATAAATTTAATATGATAATAAATGAAAACAATAAGACTATAAGAAGCATCTTCGGTCCAAAAATGGTATGTAAAATTTTAACACACGGGAGCAAACTATTACCGCTCAACCCGAGTAAGAGAGAAAGTGTTTACATATTTTTTAGATATTGAGGGATTCTTTTTACATATTTTACCACAATCGAATGATATATATTTATATGCATAAATGTGATGATAGTGATTTAATTCCATACATGCGATATTGTAGTTGTGTAGTGGTTATTCTATAATTACAAGAATAATTAAATTCTTTTTATTTTAGATCAGGGCTGGAACCCCAGTTTGCCCTTATATGTTCGTAGGTTGTCCACAGTAAGAAAATGGAAGATTTGTCCTTGACAAGATAAGCATATAGCAGATGTTCCGTAATAGCCGCCTTTAATATGCTAAATTTTTCGAATTCTTGTCAAAAATGAAGTCATGGAAGTATGCATAATAGGGGTCGCAAATTGCTGGCTGAAAAGTACCAAAGCCAGTTTGATTGTCTGCTAAATCTTGAAGGTCAGCTAAATCTCAAATAATAACCTTCAACTCCTCTCTATTCTTTCAGCAATTTAACAGGTTTTAAATGCTTTCATTTCAGTATTTCTAAACATTGATTTGTTAGATTTTAACAGCGTTTTTAAACATATTCATTCAAGCATTATTTCGTGACACTTGAGCATTATTGTAAAGGATGCTAAAAATATATTAAGGCTGGTGGTTAAAGGAAACCCTTCTAAACTATGAGTTAAATTTCTTGTATGCATATGTTGCACATTAATCATGATGTGAGGTGTTCCTACTTGAAATTGAAACGATAAACTTGATTCATTATGTACTTTATTAAAAAAAAGTAAACTAATGTATATTTTAATAATTATCTATATGGGAGGGAAAGATTAAATTCCTCGCACTCCGGATAGTGGCCTGCTCGCTATATTCCCACAACTTTCTTGCCATTTCATTATCCTGAGCTCTTGCAGATGGATCTATTCTTGTGCAGTTACTGAAATGAGAATATATATATATATATATATATATATATATAAGAGAAACAATAAGTTTCATTTATTGCGCATAACCTGCAAGTAAATAGAACTCACAATAAAATAAGTTCAAAATGAATATAAAACAAAGGAAAATTACAGACATATGAAAAGTTGTAAAGTTAAATACGATCCTGCAAATCTCAATTCTTTCAAAAACTTTAGAATCTACTTTCACTAAACTCTCCAATTCTCATCTAACTCTAGTATTACTTATCTAACTTAGTTAACCTACCAGTAATAAGACCCAGATTCTTCTTCCAATGAACGGCGCAATAGATGGTCGTCTGCGCACCTTGATGAGCATTCTTCCCGATAAGTTTGCGACATCCAACGACGATGTACAGTCCGCAAAAAAAAAAACGAATCGCCCTGAATAACTTTCGTTCTAATTATCGGATTTTCACGAACTAAGTGTCAATCTTAATGGTTCCTGGGGTTGACCTCAAATATGCTAATTAATTAGTGCTAACTATTAATTAAGTTACGAAATCAGACACAAAAACGTACTTTCTCTGAATAAACATGTATTTTTTTTTACATATTTGGANTATATATATAGACAACAAAATAAATATACACAAAAAAAACACGAAGAAAATTAAAAAAAACAATAAGTTTCATTTATTGCGCATAACCTGCAAGTAAATAGAACTCACAATAAAATAAGTTCAAAATGAATATAAAACAAAGGAAAATTACAGACATATGAAAAAAGGGGGAAAAAGAAAAATAATAATATAAAAAATAATAAACAACTGGGGAAAAAAAAGGATAAAATTTCTTTTAAAAAATCTGGAAAATAAAAGATATAATCTTTTCATCAGCCCACACGATTATATCCGCAAAAAGTTCATTCTACCTATGGCAACAGTTAGCATGCTTTCACCACTTCTGTGTGGAGAGTCATAGGAGAAGGAAGTAAGGTAGTTTCTATCTTGATTTTCAAGCAGATTAAATAGTTTAAGTTAGAATTCTGTATGGAACTGCATGAAACATAGCTCTAAAAGAAAGCACACACAATACAATTAAACGCGTAAAATATTATGGAAGGGGAAAATCTTGTTGTACATTCGCATACAACTAAGCAGAGAAGAGGGAAAGATGGAGGATCAAGATATGGACCAGATGGTGTATTTGAGCGTTACGATCGTGAATTTTTCATTAGAATCTGCTACTCCAGATCCAGACTAAAAACTGTTGATGATAGGTTAAATCATAAACTTCACCCACTTTTAAACGTTACATCTTTCGTCATCTCGGGAATGTCTTGCATCATCAGAATTTGGATTCCTTGGTCTCAATTCCTTGATATTCATGGTACCGCTTTAGGGAAGCAAAGAACTTAGATTTCATTTTTAGGTTTCCTTGAGGAAAGTCAATTCCGATTCCTCGGAGTTCATGGTAGGGCCCCTGCTTTCTTTACATATTTTATTCATATGATTGAGAAAAAGAAAACAAAGGAATAGCAACGTCTTTATGAATGAAATCTAAAAATGCTTAGCGATGAATTTTTCACAGGGGTTTTTCGTCAACGTCAGTTCGAGTACAATAAGTCTTGCATTAAAAAGACCAAATCGGCCCCCTTCCGCCTTTCTTCGAATAGGAGTATATGCCAATATTTCAAGAGCTAACTAATCTAAAATGTTGAATTTTTGTTTGGAAATAATAGTTAATTAGTTATAAAAAATGTTCAAAAATCAAACGATTTCTTCCAGCAAAGCAAAAGTGATCAGCTCACAAAAGTAATTAGACGTCAGACTGACCCCTACCATCGTTCTAGTGTTAGCATTTTCCTGCAATCTTTTCTTGTAACAATAGGTATAGACTGGAAATAATACTTCTGAATTTCCTGAAGAAAAGAAAAGAAAAAGCCAGGTTTTTGAAAAAGAAATCAACCTATTCCATTGAAAGCTGGTCTTGCAATTTTAATTTGAAAATTGGTGCACGGTTGTAAACCTGTCTATTATTAGGCGTAAAGCAGAGGAGAGACTCAGCAAATCAATAAACAGAATCAATGAAAAGGTAACTGGAGTATTTATTAAAACTGGTGTTTCTGATGGTGTTGAAAAGCTTTTAAATTTAAAGTTATTTTTTTCTACAACTTTAATACTAATTTGTGTAATAAAATTTTTAAAAATTTGGTTTTTTTCACTATTGGTTAGGATTAAAAATATTTGCAATAATGTTAAAAGTTTTCGGAAAGCTATGTATAATTTTTTGAATATTTTGAGTAATAATGATTTTCTTTTTAATTTTTGTGAAGTTAATTTTTTAATTTAAAAAAAATGATTGAAGAATTCTACTTTTTTTAACAGTGCGTAATTCAAGTCTTAACTGAGCAGCCCCAGTTAAGCATTCTATTAATTTGTTATGTATGTTTTGTTTGACTTCTTTTTTTCAATCTGCGCATTGTTATAGAGGGCGTTGTTTTCTTTAGTTTTAAGTGTTTCTTTTTCATTCGGTTTGCTTATGAAATCGTTGTTTGACTTGGTTAATGTGAGTTTTTATTTTCTAATGATTTCGTTTGAGTTTCTGAATTGGTTTTATGTATTTCATGTTTTTTCCTGGACTTCTATATCCTGGATTTCGCCAAGGGATATTGGCAAATTAAGCTTAGTCCAAACGCTCAAAGATTAGCTACTTTTGTTACCAGTTTCGGAACTTATAGGCCATTACGACTTCCATTTGGGTTGAAGAATGCCCCCTATTTTTTTAGCAAATTAATGGCACGACTACTAAAGGGTTTAGAAGAATTTGCAGTGCCATACCTTGATGATATAGCAATTTTCTCAGATACCTGGGATCTTCATTTAGAACATCTTAATTGTGTATTGCAGCGAATCAAAGAAGCAGAACTTACAATGAAACCTTCAAAATGCCGTTTTGCGCAAGATCATGTTCTTTATCTAGGACATATTGTCGGACAAGGCTATAGAAAACCCTCTGATATAAAAACACGAGCAGTTGCCGAATTTCCTGTACCTAAGACCAAAACTGAGATCAGAGCATTTTTGGGACTAGCGGGCTATTACAGTCGATATATACCAATGTTCTCTGTTCTGGTTGCACCATTAACAGACACTTTAAAAGGCAAAACAAAAAAGGGAGAAATTACCTGGACGATTGAATGCGAAGAAGCCTTTAAGAAACTAAAAGAAAAATTAACGAGCCAACCTATACTCTTCTCTCCCAACTATGAAAAGGAATTTATCTTGCAAACAGATGCTTCGGAAATTGGTATGGGTGTGGTATTAACACAACTAGATAATGAAGGCCATGAACACCCCATAATATATCTGAGTAAAAAGTTTAATGAGTCCGAAAAAAAATATTGTACTACGGAAAAAGAATGCGCCAGTATAATTTTTGCCATCAAAAAATTACGACACTATTTAGATGGGCAAAAGTTTACTATTCAGACTGATCATCACCCGCTAACCTGGCTTAAAACAAATGCTACTTCAAATGCCAGACTTATGCGTTGGGCTTTAGCATTACAACCGTTTAATTTTAAAATTGTGCATAGAGCTGGTACTAAGAACAAGAATGCAGATTGTCTCAGTAGAGTATCTTTAAGTTCTTGATTTGAATTAGACAAAAGTTAATTGAGGGGGAGGAATATGTAAATAATGTTTGTTTTTCTTATTGATATTGATACAGATTAGTCTTATTTCCTTATTCATATGTATGATTTATTTATTTTAAAAAACTAACTCGTAAAGAAAGTAGTTGCTATTAAAGTTTGAATTAAAGCTCTAATTAA